ACCTCGTGGCAAAATCGCTTATCCGAGAGTTCGACATGAAGAAACCGGACGCTGACCATGAGCTGAAAGACCTGAGTGCAGATATTGAGGAGGAGGATGCAGGGATTGCGGAGGATGTAGATAACGATGACGGATTTGTTGACGAGGTTGAGTTGTTGGACAATCAAGAACGAACAGCACTAGACAAAGACATTCGACCAGTCAAATTAGCGCTTGGAAAAGTAAGTACAATCAAACTGTTAAAAACTCACCATTGATCCCAATCTACATCCTACCAGTTGCGAAAGCTGGCATATAAAATTATCCATTCGACTACCATTGTGCTTCCTGCATGGCACAGCATCCTCCAGGACTTGGCGCAGCCACAAATGCTTATACCACGCGATGTGGCAACACGATGGAATTTGACCTTCGACATGTTGGACTATGCCCTTGGACATCGAGAAGCCGTGGATGCTGTTACCCAACGGCGGGACTTGGGATTGCGGAAGTTTGAGTTTGAGGATCATGAGTGGCTAATACTAGAACAGCTGCGAGATATACTTAAGGTTGGTGCATTCCTTTTTTGGTACAACTACGTGCTAACATTGTTTTGTTTGCTTCTGTTAGATTCTAAAGGATGCAACGCTATACTTTTTGCGTGCAACACCCAACCTTGCAACAGTGATCCCAGCAATGGATCACGTCGACAAGATGCTCACATCATATTCCCGCAACAAAAAATACCTTCTGTCAATCCGTTCTGCAGTTCGGCTGGCCAAGAACACTCTCAACCGGTATTACCGGCTCACGGACAGGTCTCAGACATATTGAATCGCAATGGGTATGTGCTGTTCGATCTTAGTGTTTTTTAAAACTGAGATTTATATAACTCTAGTCTTACATCCACAGCACAAGCTAACATACTTTAAGGCAGCACGATGGGAAGATGACTCAATCAAAACCGCGGAGAGACTTGTGCGCGAAGAATTTGAACGTTCATACTTATCAATCAATGATGACTCTGATGTGGGATGCGAAGACGATCTCTTAGAGTCAGACTACAATGCGCAGATGGTATGTTTTATTTTATTTTTATTTGGCATCTGTACTGAATAGTTCTTAGAGCGACAACATCTTTGACAACCTCCCAGTGCTCGCACCCCCAAAATCTGCTAACCTAGGCTCCGAACTTGACCGGTACCTCAGTACGGACGTGGAACACGTCACTAACCCTATTGCTTGGTGGTGCGAACGTCAGAAATCTTTCCCCGGCTTTCACGCATGGCTATCGACTACCTGACCATCCCCGGTATGTAACTGGCTGTTTTTCGATGCATTGTAAGCTTACATTTTGCCATAGCGACATCGAGCCCATAATGCTATATAGATACATCAATATACTACTATAGCCCTAAAATAGGGATACATTATCCAGTCTACTTGTCCACTGTCCACAATGATATATCCAATGGTGAATCACAATAAGCAGTTTTAGGCTGCAATTTTGGCTCCCCAAAGCGAAAATTCATGATATATATTCCATTTTGGTAACCTCCTCATGTCAGGCCTCCCCACATTATTCCCACACATCATATGTTCGCATTTTTCAGCCCCACAGTGTGGGAATTACCCCACAACACCAAAAATATCGCCCAATTTGGGAATCTCCACAATATCAATTATTCCCACACCCTTCCCACCTCACTGCAGCTTCACCACCACCCCACAATAGGTCCCCCTTCATATATAAGTGGTAGTTTGGTATATATATGTATAATATAATATAATAGTCCGCTTTTTTTTGTTTATTTGTGTACCTGCTCCTCCTCCAGGACCCTTTCAACATAGCCTAGGGTACAGAACACTTTCGCATTTTTGCCCCTATGATAGGGAAGTGTTCTAAGGCATTCAGAACATGTTCAGGAGTATATATGAATGTATTCCCATCTTTATTTTACCCCCTGAAGCGCCCTACATCAATAGCTATAGCATATATACATAGAAATACAAAATATGTTCCCATGTGTGCATTTCCAAGTGAACAGACTTGAAAATTGTATCCCCACAATCCACTAAGCAGTAGGAACAATGTATCAGGAGATCAGGACCACAGAACAACACCCTGTTGACTGGTATACCCCTCTTCTTCTGGTGGTTTACCCCCTGTGAAAAATTTTCCTGGAAGGCTAGACCTTAGATATGGCAGGGAGTCTATTCCTATACATATCTGGAGTATATCTATCACATAGCTACCACAGGAAGACTTTAGGGTCCTTCAATAGCAACAAAAACATAAAACATCACATATTTCACTTTTTTGATGTTTTGTACTACCTTACCCTTTCACAAATAATACAACATGATCATATATCATTAGTAGGGCATATATACATGCTTTATATACCAAAGATCAGTTCAAAATAGGCCATAGTTGTGGAATAGTGTATATACTTTCTAAATCTACTGATTAGGTTCCCATACCTTAAAATCATCGAAATCTTATAATCAGACACCTGGAGTACATTTCACATATATTCAGCATCATAGGCCTAAATGTACAGAAACATCCACCCAGATCTCAGAGCTGGGAAGTGAAATAGATCAAAAATTGAGTGTGGGAAAATTCAAATGCCCAAAACATCGAAAATGGGTAGTTTGAGGTTGAGTGGTTATTGGACTTTAATGCTGAATCAACTCACTTTCACACTACATCCCTTCCACCAACACTCTACCCTCAGGGCAGTATGTAGTATAGGTTCCTTAGGTAGTCTATCATGTATCCTACACATTTTTAATAAAATCTTCGACCTGTCTCATATATACATATGACTTTCTGTGAAAAAATGTCAATTGTCACTTTTCACACATATGTCATTTTCCTTGCCATTCATTCAAACCTTGATGGATCTTTCTATAGATTTAAAACTATCATTAGGGATATATATGAGATATATTCCAGGTGTCTGATCACTGATAAAACCCTTTATTTCCATGTGGCCTTCTAATCAGTGGAAATACCCCCTTTACCTCAGATCTAATGTTTCCACCCTATATCCAGCTGATCCTTAGCATAGGAAACATGTATACATGCCATACTAATGATATATGATCATGTTGTATTATTTGTGAAAGGGTAAGGTAGTACAAAACATCAAAAAAGTGAAATATGTGATGTTTTATGTTTTTGTTGCTATTGAAGGACCCTAAAGTCTTCCTGTGGTAGCTATGTGATAGATATACTCCAGATATGTATAGGAATAGACTCCCTGCCATATCTAAGGTCTAGCCTTCCAGGAAAATTTTTCACAGGGGGTAAACCACCAGAAGAAGAGGGGTATACCAGTCAACAGGGTGTTGTTCTGTGGTCCTGATCTCCTGATACATTGTTCCTACTGCTTAGTGGATTGTGGGGATACAATTTTCAAGTCTGTTCACTTGGAAATGCACACATGGGAACATATTTTGTATTTCTATGTATATATGCTATAGCTATTGATGTAGGGCGCTTCAGGGGGTAAAATAAAGATGGGAATACATTCATATATACTCCTGAACATGTTCTGAATGCCTTAGAACACTTCCCTATCATAGGGGCAAAAATGCGAAAGTGTTCTGTACCCTAGGCTATGTTGAAAGGGTCCTGGAGGAGGAGCAGGTACACAAATAAACAAAAAAAAGCGGACTATTATATTATATTATACATATATATACCAAACTACCACTTATATATGAAGGGGGACCTATTGTGGGGTGGTGGTGAAGCTGCAGTGAGGTGGGAAGGGTGTGGGAATAATTGATATTGTGGAGATTCCCAAATTGGGCGATATTTTTGGTGTTGTGGGGTAATTCCCACACTGTGGGGCTGAAAAATGCGAACATATGATGTGTGGGAATAATGTGGGGAGGCCTGACATGAGGAGGTTACCAAAATGGAATATATATCATGAATTTTCGCTTTGGGGAGCCAAAATTGCAGTCATAATGTATGTTTAGGATTTCTGCTTGCTATATTAGATACATGGATTCTCAGACTACATGGATGTATCACTGGTGAGTGGACAATTAGATTGGGGGATGTATCCCTATTTTAGGCCTATAGGCCAAAAGGATACATCCATCCCCCACCATCAGGTGTGACATCTGTTGATGTAGAATGACTGTTTAGTCGCAGTCGCCTGATCCTATCGCACGTCAGAAGTCGTCTATCAGCACAGTCAACATGCGCGCTTCTTTGTCTTGGCCTGTGGAGTGAGTTGCGTCTTGTTGAGTCTGAGGATGTAATTCAGGTGTCGAAGCTCCCAGATGTTGTGGGGGAAGAGAAGGCCATGGACGATGGATGGGACAGTATCAATAGACAGTAAACTAGCTACTACATTGTTATCTCGTAGGTATAATTCATAGAGACCCGCGGGTATACCCTCCATGGGTTGTACCCCGGGTCCGTTATGCAGGTACCCGTCGACAAACCCGTACCCGCTGTGGGGGGTATGGGTATATCTCGGGGTGCGGGTACGGGTCCAACCACTGCTACCCGGGGGTATACCCGTGCAGTTCCCTAGCAGTAATAGCGCCACCTAGAGATGCTACAGCTGCTACAAGTCCGTCTCCACCTACTATGTCTCTACCTTTGCAACGGCCTGTCTCGACATCAACTCCAGCTATTCCGAGTCCGTCTCCCGCTACTACAAGTCCGTCTCCCGCTGCTACAAGTCTGTCTCCACCTGCTTTGATTCTGTCTCCACCTGCTTTGATTCTGTCTCCCGCTGTTTCAAGTCCGTCTCCCGCTGCTACAAGTCCATCTCCCGCTGTTCCAAGTCCGTCTCCCACTGCTACAAGTCTGTCTCCCACTGCTACAAGTCTGTCTCCCACTGCTACAAGTCTGTCTCCCACTGTTCCAAGTCTGTCTCCCGCTGCTACAAGTCTGTCTCCCGCTGCGCAACAATCAACTTTAGAATTTCCCGCATTACTAGCTCCATTTCTACCTGCACAACAGCCTGTTATAGAACCCGCGCCTCAGATCAAGGTCGTGAATACATTGTACGTCAAAATATGATTTCTTGTTCACAGCTAACATTGCTTAACAGATCCACTCTCGCTCTCGCTGCATCTCAGATCGTTTTGCCTCCACTACCACCTTCTAATCCATTGCTTGAGTCTCCACCCGAGTCAACCATCAACGCATCGCCGCTCGATAATATCACGAAGAAAGGCAAGACTACTGGCACCAAGAGTGGTACCAAGAGCAAGATGCGTCCTAGCGCGACCAAAAACGGACGGTGAGTTGTTTCCTTTTTTTTTCATTTGGACGATACTGGTCACTAATCGCTACTACTACAGGAACCTGTGCGCATTACGTTGGCTGAAACAAACCAAGTCGAATGGCACAACCGAGGAGTTCAACGCCTACTACAGCTCCCTCACGTCAACACAACGCACGGTGCGTATTTATCTTACTCTCTCGGACATTGACTGACACACATTTCAGGAATACGACAAAGACGCAGCGAATTTGGCAGCAACCGATACATGGAGCAAGACTGTGTGCGACGGCAAGATACACTAGTCCTCTAGACGGGTGTTTCGACGTGTTTCTGTTTCAGCATTTCATCGAACCGCTTTTGCGCTGTTTTCTGGCTGTTTTCGAACCATTCGTATTGTTATTATTCCCGTATTCACATTCGCATACCAGACTACCAGCAATACCAATAATATCATATTTGAGCATAATATAGCATACACCAATGGGGACAAGCAAGCAAGCAATAATATGCGCTCATGTGCTGGATCGTGAAAACGACACAAAGGAGCACGAGGGAAACTGCCCCCACATATAGAAAATCTGCTATTTTTCTCATCATCGTTTGGATTGTGCTGCGAGGTGTTTTTCTTCGCGAGCAGTTCTACCAACACACCTCGACATACACGGCCCTTTCCCAGCACAGCCGGTGCTCACTGGGTCTGAAGTTTGAATGCCGCACACCGTGCTGCACGATGTACGAAAGACTTGTCTGTGCAATTTCATTATCTCGCATCCCAAAAAACACATCATATGACGATAAAGTGCAACCAGCTACCACGTGGAACCTCCAAAAAAAACAAGATCACGGTCATCTTGGACCACCCTTCCGCTGATCTTCGTTCAGTTCGCAGAACACTGACACGATCAGGCGAAACCAGGTCGTTTACGCCATCAGTATGTAAGCGCGTTGGCCTTGATCCTGTAGAATATAATGTTGCTGTAGCTGACTTGAAAATGATAAATACTCACATTGCAAAGGTCAAAGATTGCGGATACGACGTCCAGGTGGTGACGACTCTGCAACGATTCGGACACAATGTGGTGAGCGAGGTGTATGGGTGATACGATCAAGACTGAGATTAACCGACTGCGACTGCAAAGCTTCAAGCTTCGCTCACCTCAACGAATTGTAGTACTGTTGCAGCGTCCAGGTGATGGGAACTCTACAGGGAAGACAAGAGGCAACAATTCAGACACAAGGTGGCAAACAGGATGTGTATGTGTTATACGTGTCAAGACAAACACAGGCAGTACGAATCACATCTCACACTGACAGCTTCCATGTCGTTGGAAGCTATGTAGTCATCAGCGTGACATTGCTTCTGAAGTGTTGTGCCGAGTGCGCGTGGAGGGCAGAATAGATCATGCACCCGCCGACAAGAAGTTCTCTGATCTGGATCTATTGGTGCTTTGATCGTGAATGGAGGGAAGATGATGAGTAGCCATTGACGAGAGGAGGAATACGGACCATCCAGAATGAGGAAGGATAGACACTGTGCGACGTGGAGGACTGAGAGCAAAAGGTCAGAACAAGACCTGATTCAAAAAATACTCACAGCGCGCATTGATGTTGGCTCGTATGTCATCGAAAAAACCTGGCAGTACTCGATTATTGACTATGAAGATTGCCCGACTCTTGGAGTTGTCCAAATGGATGTACCCTTTGCTGATCCCAGCCGAGTGATCAACCGATGTCTGGATGGACGTGACTGAGACCGTGATGACCTCTGGAAACTGGTGCTCGCATCCGCACGGAACATTGGTTCCGGCGCCCAGTTCACTGCAAAAACTTTATCCCGAAGTTAGTGCGAAGGAGACGACTTGGGCACAATATTAGGTGAAAAATGGCACAGCACAGCACCGTCGGCATCCTCACCCATTCGACTATCATCAACCAACGTAGCAGTGAATCTTCTGTGACGACTCCTGGCGGTACAGGAATTACGTGTCTGAGTCAAGTTGAGCTTGACTTCTTTCTATGTCAACGCTGCAACCAGACCGGCTGGCTGGCCCAGCGCCTGTCGTTATCACATAAGTGTTTGATAGAGCGCGCCTCGGAAGGCAGAAACTCCGCTGCACAAAGAGTGGCTGGTTTGAGGTGTGAGGGGAAAGAACGTCGGCTGCATCTAGCGCACACGCAGATCTTGGGATTGGACGAAACGAAGAAGTGATATTGCAGTAAGGTGTATGCAAAGTGTTCAGGAAAGTTACATGGTTACAACGGTGATGGAAGTATGGCAGCAAACCACCTCGTGTCCTGGGCGTCTATGGAAATGAGGCAGGTTAAGGTAGTGAAGTATCACAAAAACGCACAATACACGCACCTCTGCAGCTGAGACAGAGACGCTCACTAACCCTCCAAAGTCGACCTCGACCGTGCTCAACGCTACCAACATCTAGTAAAATGACAAAGCTCATTTCAAGCACCACACCCCTTCGAACATTTAAAGGTCATGAAAAAATCGTAAGGGCAGTCGCAGTTTTCCCCGACAGACGAAGAATGGTTACGGGCTCATACGACAAGACACTTTGTCTTTGGGACTTGAAGACAGGTGTTGTGTTGAAGAAGATGGAGGGGCATAGCAGTAGGGTGTATTCATTGGCGGTATCACGAGATGGGCAAATAATAGCAAGCGGTGATGCAAATGGGGAGGTCATTGTTTGGAACGGAGAAACAGGAGAATCCCTCACCCAACCCATCAAAGCCCACTCCGATTGGATCTGCTCGCTGGACTTTTCCGCAGATGGTACGGTGTTGGCCACTGGTTCAGACGACCACACGGTCAAGCTGTGGTGTACCAAAACATGGGGGGTTACACACACTCACTCACGTGGATGCCCGATGGCACACGCCTTCTTTCTGTCGCGTATGACGCCATAGAAGAGTGGGATACATCAACCTGGGGGAAGGTCGGTCATCCCTGGAAGGGCCATACTGGGGGGATCAATGACCTCGCCGTCAATCCTGCTGGCACGCTCGTTGCTTCCGCATCTAGAGATAGCCATATCCGTCTCTGGCAGCTCTCAGATCGCCAAACAATTGCCATGTTCAAGCACTCATCCATTCCGGAATGTATCACTTTCTCCGCAGATGGCAAGTACATCTTCAGTACAGGTGGTGACAATCAGATCTCGGAGTGGGACGCAAAGGGTTTTCATTCAAGCGTGAGTTTCCGTCCTTGACTCACGTCAGACAATTTGATCACGCTTCACGCAGATCCTCTCTGCTGTCACGGCAGACCGTGGTTCATCCATCACTGGAGACTTGTCGACTGCTGAACAGATACTCACACAAGATATTGACGCCGACGCCAATAACTATACCTCATATGCCAGTCGCTCATTCGTTATGGCGCGAAAACAAGACTGGGACCGTGCCCTTGAGGATGCAATCAAGGTCAGTCATACCGACCAATTATGGCCCTGTTACGAAAGGCTAACGTTCATCCGTGACATAGTCCATCAGAATTGAGCCTTCATTAATAGGCTACATCTCGAAAGGCATCGCCCTCTGCGGAAAAGGCAATGTCCCGGGCGGGAGGGTGGCATTTGATGTTGCATCCATGTTCACGAACCAAGACTCAGGCACTATTCATTTTCTTCTCTTGATCAAGGTAAGTTAGGTTCGTCTCGCATGCGCTCTGCTCCATTCTGTATTTCAGGCCATTGCCCTCTTCAATGCAAATCAACATGAAGAGGCAATGCTGCTCATCACAGAGCTAGCTGCCGCTCGTCGGGATGCTGATACCCTCTCGTGTCGCGTCGTGGAAGTAAGCATCATGCGGCTATGCTCGGTTATCGCTACTGATCTTTGCAACTCGCACATTAGGCATATCTACGCGTTCAGCTCGGAACCAAGGCCTTCGATGGTGGACATCATGATGAAGCCGCTGACTACTTCGCTGCCGCCGTCAACTCCAGCACTTTCCCATCGAAAATGATCCCTGATCTATGCGAGGATTTTGTTGTGGTATGTTGACATGATGCGTCCGCAAATGCTATATTAACTGAGTGCTTTCTCCAGCTCTTCGGCTGGGATCTCGAGTCCTTCTGGCTTACTACGCACCAGAAACGTTGTCAGGCTTTGCTTTCGGCAGGTAAAGTCGAAGAAGCCCTCGAATCACACCAACATATGATGGACACCATCGACGAAACTGAGAAGGCCAGCTGCCTCGATTGGTCCAACGGCAAGTTTTCAGTGATGTCACTCGACGCTGTCATACTCACCCGCATTTCACTCAGACTTCAAGGAACAATGTGCGCTTGCTGCCCGTGATGACCGTATTCTTGGCGCATGTACTCCCTTCCTCAACCTTTTCGCTATTGACCTAAGTTATGCAGGCGGAGATTCCGGGGCAAGATCAAGATGGCTATGATGTAGAACCTGATTTCTTCCGGGGGACGCATGGCGTGGGTGCTTCAGCGTATCCTTCATTTTTCTCTCACATGTCATTCATTACAGCATCCTCAAACTTCCAGACCACGACCTCAAGAGCGCCCCGGGCTCTTCGAGAAACTCAGGCTCGCTATGACAAGGAATCTTCATCCAGTTCCACCACCTGCACCTGCACCCACACCAGCACCGCCCACCGCCCTACCACCTGCCGCTGCCCCCACGACCTTCACAGGCCACGTACGACACCTATTCACCTGGCGACCCGATCACACAGCACCACCCGTCGTCGAAGTTTCTTTTGCGCAGGGTCGAAAGGTGCGCTCGATCTATTTTCATCACTGTCTTAGGTGTCTCATGCATATATCTACAGCGTAATGCTGCAGCGGGTGCTCCTGCTGATGACGATTCAGACATTATACGTGCTGAATATGTCGATGATGGTCCACAGGATCGCAATACACAACAGCCTACTACGCAACAACCCATTACGCAACAGCAACGACAACCAGTAGTAATGCAGGCAGTAGATACTGGGGAACATGGAGGTGGCAAGTCGTGTTTCTGCTGCTAGCGTCTTTCTTGGATGTCCTCGTGTATTTTAGTTCTGTCATTGCTCTTGTTTTTTTTTGCGATATATATCTGTTTGATGTAAATCGTACTATTAATCCGACTCAACGATGGCACCGCAGGGTCCCTACTACATTACCCATACCATCCTTTCTCTCGGAACAGGCCACAACTCAGTTTCATCGTGTCAGTGTTCAATTTTGCGTGCACTCATCCACTACTGTATTCTTCATAACTGACGGTTCTACACTTATATACTAATTGTACGCTATCCGCCATATTCGGCGGATCTGCTCAATCCAATGACAACATGAACTTGAAGATTCGTATTATCATCCTCGCGTGTGTCCATCCTAGCTAATGTTACCCCCCGCAAAATATTCATCTGGCCAAAATTGAAACGGCCGCATTCTACACCATCACTTTCACGAACTATCTTGGACGTCACCTCACCTGCCCTGCCCTGATTCAATGATGGACATGCGTGCTCCCTATCACACGCTAGTCTCGCAAAGATCGGTTTGACTTTCTGCAGCTTTTGCGAATGACTCCAGTGCGATGTTCAAGGACTCCCTCATGAAGATTGATCGCCGTATTGAAGCTCAGTGCGCTCGGGCTCTGGTGTAGTAAGAATGGTGTCGGCACTGGAGTTTGCAGGGCGCTGGCCACGGCTATTTACTATATAATGGCACTTCTCCGATACCTCACCATGCACTGTACAGGTGGATTAAGTAGAGACGAACATATGGCTGAGAAATTTTTTAAGAAACCCTACTCATCAACCACGACATTGCCGATGTATGTGTTTCAAAGTGAACTTCAGCATGTTCAAGGGTGGCCCGGAACCCCTGTTTTAAAAGGCTGCTGGTGTTAGTTACTTGTGGGGCGACAGATTCAGCATGTGAAAAGTGACTTGGTGCAATAGACTGGCGCATTTCGGAATTGTCATGCGATTTGAACAGAGAGTGGCTGTTGATGACGATGAGCGTAGGCTCGAGTACTAATCCTTATACACGCTCTCCAACAAGTGGCTCATGGCACCGCTCGCCAACGAGTTGGAGTGACTCATAACACCGCCCACAGACGCGGGAGCAGCAATACAAGTGTTTTGATTTTGAGATCTTCGAAGTGGCTAGACGTCCTGGACGTAACTACCAGGCATCATGGGAATGAGCATGAGCATGGATTGAGCGGGAGTTTCAGGCAGCGATGGACTTGGGTCCACTCCAACCACCCACACCTACACCGACATCGACATGGCCCACTTCGCGGAACCCCACGAATTCGATACCAGCGCCTCGCTCACAAATACTTGCAGAGCGTTCATGTTTAATGCTAGGACTATGAAAGCTGCAAGCTGCCTGCTCATTCATGGTGAAAAGTCAGAGTCTGTCGTCACAGCCAACTCACCTAGGGAACCTAGAACATTCAACTTCGGATTCAGCTTCAGCTTCGGATTCGGATTCTTGACCAGGGGCGCAATCAAGACGGACTCCGAGTCGAGGTTTCGGTAATGGTGATGGTACCACTGTGTGATTTCGATGGGGCATAGGCGTGTACTCTTGCCCGTGAGGACTGGTAGCGGATGTGAGTATCGCAGTACCACTAGTACCAATAGATAACTTTTAGACAGATACAAGCGCCGGGAAGCAGCAACCGCAGTATGATGCGAGTGCATGCATGCTGGAAGATGTGGGGACAAGAGTCAAACGAATGTATACAGTGCTGAGGCAGCGGGAGGGTATACTGTCGAGGAAGGCAAGTTTGACAATAGGGAGCATTGTTGCTACAACGGTGATAGGTGCGGCAGCAAACGACCTCGTGACTTGGGCGTCTATAGAAACGAGGCAGCTTAATGTAGTGAAGTAACGTAAAAACGCACAACACACGCACCTCAAAGACGCTCACAAACCTTCCAAAGTCCACCTCGACCGTGCTCAACACTATCAACCTGCAGTAAAATGTCGAAGCTCGTTCCAAGCACCATAGCACTTCGAACTTTTAAAGGTTATGAGGGACGCGTTAGGGCAGTCGCAGTTTTCCCCGATAGACGAAGAATGGTTACGGGCTCACAAGACAAGACACTTTGTCTTTGGGACTTGAAGACAGGTGTTGTGTTGAAGAAGATGGAGGGGCATCGCAGTCAGGTGCGGGCATTGGCGGTATCACGAGATGGGCAAATGATAGCAAGTGGTGATGAAACTGGAGAGGTCATTGCTTGGAACGGAGAAACAGGAGAATCTCTCACCCAACCCATCAAAGCCCACTCCACATTTGTCGACTCGCTGGACTTTTCCGCGGATGGTACGGTGTTGGCCACTGGTTCATCCGACTACACGGTCAAGTTTTGGTGCACCAAAACATGGCAGCAACAAGGAAATCGAATTGAATTTGAATATGGTGTCTACCGGGTTCGATATTCGCCGTCTGGTGAACTTCTTGCCATCGCAACAAGGTACAATATCCAAATTTATAATTCAGGCACAGGGGAACTCGTCGCAACCTTAGAGGCCTACACCTTCTCACTCGCGTGGACGCCCGATGGCACACGCCTTCTTTCTGCCCATGACGCCATAGAAGAGTGGGATACATCAACCTGGGAGAAAGTCGGTGATCCCTGGAAGGGCCATACTAAGTGGATCAATGCCCTCGCCGTCAATCCTGCTGGCACGCTCGTTGCTTCCTCATCTGAAGATAGCCATGTCCGTCTCTGGCAGCTCTCAGATCGCCAAACAATTGCCATGTTCAAGCACTCATCCATCCCGGGATGTATCACTTTCTCCGTAGATGGCAATAACATCTTCAGCGGAGGTGAAGACAATCAGATCTCGGAGTGGGAAGTACCTAAGGGTGTTCATTCAAAGGCGAGTGTCCATCCTTGACTTGTGTCACGCAATCTGAGCATGCTTCACGCAGATCCTCACTGCTGTCACGGCCGCCCGTGTTTCATCCATAACTGGAGACTTGCCTGCCGCTGAACGGCTACTCACGCAAGAGATCGATGCTGATGCCGACGACTATACCTCCTATGCCAATCGATCATTCGTTAAGGCGCGAAAACAAAGCTGGGACCACGCCCTTGAGGATGCAATCAAGGTCAGTCATACCGACAAATTATGGCCCTGGTACGAAAGGCTAACGTTCATCCGTGACATAGTCCATCAGCATTCAGCCTTCATTAATAGGCTACATCTCGAAAGGCATTGCCCTCTGCGGAAAAGGCAATGTCCCGGGTGGGAGGGTGGCATTTGATGTTGCATCCATGTTCACAAACCAAGATTCAGAAATCACCCATTTTCTTCTCTTGATCAAGGTAGGTTAAGTTTGTCTCGCGTGTTCTCTGTTCCATTCCGCATTTTAGGCCATTGCCCTCTTCAATGCAAATCAACATGGCGAAGCGATGTTGCTCATCAAAGAGCTAGCTGCCGCATGTCCGAATGCTGATACCCGCGCGTGTTGTGTCGTGGAAGTAAGTGTCATGCGGCTACACTCGGTTATTGATACTGATCTTTGCGACTCGCACATTAGGCATATCTACATGTTCAACTCGGAACCAAGGCCTTGGATGGCGCGCGTTATGATGAAGCTGCTGACCACTTCGCCGCCGTTGTCAACTCCAGCGGTTTCCCATCGAAATTCATCCATGAACTATACGAGGACTTGATCGTGGTACGTTGACATGATGCATCCGAATTTTTTTTTCATAACTGAGTGTTTCGTCCAGCTCTTCGGCTGGGATCTCGAGTTCTTCTGGCTCACCGCACATCAGAAACGCTGTCAGGCTTTCCTTTTGGCAGGTAAAGTTGAAGAAGCCCTTCAATCACACCAACATATGATGGACGCCATTGACGAAACTGAGAAGGCCAGCTGTCTCGATTGGTCCAACGGCAAGTTTTCAGTGATGTCACTCGACGCTGTCATACTCACCCGCATTTCACTCAGACTTCAAGGAACAATGTGCGCTTGCTGCTCGCGATGACCGTATTCTTGGCGCATGTACTCCCTTCCTCAACCTTTTCGCTATTGACCTAAGGTATGCAGGCGGAGATTCCGGGGCAAGATCAAGATGGCTATGATGCAGAACCTGATTTCTTTCGGGGAACGCATGGCGTGGGTGCAACAGTGCATTTTATCTTTTTCTTTCTCTCACACACTATTCATTACAGCATTCTCAAATCTCCAGACCACTACCTCAGCAGCGCCCGGGGCGCTTCAAGAAACTCAGGCTCGCTATGACAAGGAATCCTCATCCAGTTCCACCACCTGCACCTGCACCCACACCAGCATCGCCCACCGCCCTACCACCTGCCGCTGCCCCCACGACCTTTACAGCCCACGTACGACACCTATTCACTTGGCGACCCGATCATGCTGCACCACCCGTCGTCGACGTTCCTTTCGCGAAGGCTAAAGAGGTGCGCCCGCTCCATTTTTACCACTCTCTTGGGTGTCTCATATATACATATATAGCGCAATGCTGCAGCGGATGCTCCTGGGAGAGACGAGGACATGGTTCCTGACGAATATTTCGATAATCTTCCAGAGGACCCCAATGTCACACAACGGCCCAATACACCACATCAACAACAACCAGTAGCAATACAGTCAGACACTGGGGAACATGGAGGTGGCAAGTCGTGTTTCTGCTGCTAGCGACTTTCGTGGATGTCCTCGTGTATTTCAGTTCTGTCATTGCTCCTCTTTGTTGCGATATCTATACAGTTTCTAAGTATTTGTGATAAAAGTACAATGTCCTGATCCTGCATAAAAGTACAGCTGCGAATGATTATGAAAGCGATGGACTCGATATACGAAAGCTAGTGTACACGCTGCGCTAGCGTTCAATTAATCGAGTTACCCTTGGAAGAACCGTAGTGCGAAGTCTCCAGCACTGGCCCCTGTCCTAAATTTTTCATGGACTTCTTTGAGCCCTGTTTCGCTCGGCCTCTCTGAATATCGCTTCCTATACCGAAGAGCTTCACCCACAGAAGTAAGCTGAAGACCCATACCTTCGAGCACATGGCCGTCATAAATGCGAAGAAGACGAGTGCGAGCCGGACGAGCGGAGTAAGAGGCGGTAGAATTGAATTCATCAAGTCCTACCATTGGCAATTAATGCAAATCCAAAATAATATTCTCAAGAATGAACCAACCATGGGGTGTAAAAAGTCTTCTTGAGAATAGATATATAATAACCTGTCTCGCTCCTGGAGCTTAAGACGGATGATGTAGCTGGCGGATGTGCGATTCGCGTTCACGTCAACATCATGGTGGTACACCGGTAACGCGCATCCACTCACCGAGAAGGGGCTGCCTTGAACGGGCTAATTCTAGGACGGAAGTTCTGAGTGACTTCGGCGACAACGACTTGATTTTTCTTGTCATATACTGGTATGTCAACGCGCATATAGTCAGCTTTGAACGACGGAACGAGATTGTTGGGTAAACTAACACACTGAATTCACTTCAATGGTAGTGTCGGGGCTAACGATGCGGCACCATTCGAACACGCCGAGGATTTTCTGGCTTGAATTTTTTCCATGCTCAACGATCCTGAAAGGGTGGTGCAAAGACGCGTCCTGCGTGTAGAATTTGTCCACAGCTTCACGCAAGTCAGAAGGTTTGCGGGAGGTAGTCAGGGCTGACAGCGCGCCGGGAAGATCACGCTGTGGGTTCTCCATTGTATAGAATAAGTTTGGAAGGCTGAGTGCGGTGGTTCTTCTGTGCGGAGGTGAGAGAAGGAGCGGGAGGTGAAAGTTGTTGAACTGACCCTATTTGGCGTCGCGACTGGTGGGTGACATCATCATCATTGTACCCAATAAAATGCTTCAGCACTTCAAAGCCTTCGACAACGTTCGCATTTAAAAGTTAACCTGATAGTATGCTGCTACGTCTCATAGCATCCGATGGTCGAGTTTGGTTGGCCGTACTACGGTGGCACTGGTTGGCTGGATTTTGACTTGCCAATTCAATTCGCAGAAAATTACCAAATGTGGCAATCATCAACTCAAACCAGCTTCAAGCGTTGCTCCAACTCGGATAGCGCTTCAAGTTCGACAACGTTCGCTTCTAGCCCGCGCCATCGCCAATTTTCTCAGCTAGAAGAATACTACTACATGGGACAACTCTTTGGAACTTTTCAGGGACCCAACTATGCACAGTCTCTTCCCCCCGAACTTTGGCAGCATTGCTTGAGTTTCCTGGCGGTTGAAGATCTCCTGGCTGTGTCATCCACTTGTTTGTCGTTTCATTTTATCTGCAAACGCATGTTATTCAGGCACATCACCACCACTATCCCATACAAGCGCACCGTTCGGCACATATTCCAGCCTCGATATGGGGATGTTGCAAGAATAGGACGAGCACGCCGACTTCTTCATCGTATTCACGCGCTTCAAAGTGACAATGATGCTCAGGAGGTACTCGGGCTAGTGGAGACATGGAGCATCAGGACCTTTGGCTCGCCTGCCCCATTAGAAGCCGCCGATATCATGCAATACGCCATAGATTGCCTCCCCTTTGTACAATCATCCACCTCGATTTTCCTGATTTTGCCATCATGCATAAACCTTCGGATGCTGAGCATTTCGGATATTTACATGGGGGAAGAGCAGTGGTCTGCCCTGGTAAAAATCCCTCAGCTGGAATGCCTCAACATGGAACGATGCAACCTGACATACGGTGGCGAGGTTATGAAGCTCAAAGTCGTGTCAATTATCCATGAGGCGCATCATGACCCACCGCTTGTACTACCTCCGACTACACAGCTTATCTCCTCGCTCTTCAACCTTCGACATTTAGAAAGACTCACACTACTCGACCTCACCTTCTCGAACTCGTTTCTCATTGGACTCGCTCAGGTGGGACAGTTTGAGAACCTGAAGCACCTTTCTGTGGTGGTTCCAGAAACCCACATGGACACGATGTTTACCTTCTTGAGTAGAACACCTTCAATCACATCGCTCACTATTTCAAACTTCTCAACCATGGCCGAGCCTAGCATGCCCGTCTCACAATTTGTCGTTCCTAACCTCGTAGCCTATGACGGTTTCCCGACTCTCCTCCCCATTTTACTTCCGGGGCGGCCCATCAGCACAGTTCGTTTGAGGATGAATCACAGGACGGATCCTCAAGCAAGTCTCGGCGATCCGTTTGGCGTTTACGATAACAACGTTATCTGCAAAGCATTGAATGATTGTTCTACGTCCACTCGCGTGGTACATGATCTTATGCTCTCTCCATTTCATCCTACCCCCGACAGTATGCAGGACATCGTACGCATCCACCCCGATCTTCGCCACCTGCGACTTGATATCCTCCGCACACCAAATATCAACATGGGCGTTGACGTGGTGAGTTAACGCGCTCTGCACGTGATCTTTTCCGACTGCTTATGACAAACAAGGACGAACCCATGTCACGTATCATGGACATGCTTGCTGATACCATGGAAGCGCAGAGTAGCGATAACATCTCAAACCATCCCCTGTTCTTGATATCGGTGAGTGATGTTGACTATTGGCGAGCCAAGTACAATTCTGATGAAGGGTTTCGAATCAGGGTTTCTTAAATTGGATCGCTAACGGTCATCTCCCACTTCCGACAAAGCTTGAGACACTGCATCTTCATTATTACCAGAAATCGGAGACGGTTTGCGGTAATACGGCGAAGCAACGACTCCTCGTGCCAAAGATCTCCGCAGCTTATCCTGCACTGCATGAAATTGAGATGGGCACGACGCGCTGGTGGAGAGAGGGTGATCGTTGGTCCCATGAGGTACTCACACGTACTCAGCTGTGAGGTGTAGGGTTGTAACATTATTTTAGTCGCGAACCAGGTAGCTTTGTTACTTCTAAGGGCTTTGTCCGTGTATGCAGAGGGCATTCCACTGCCGTAATTACCACTACCAGCGTTCTGGTATAGGCCCGACAGACTCGGAAGAGTAGTAGTTGGATCTTCTTCTCGGGGCGGTTCTTGCGGTTATTCTGAGCCATTCGGAAGCGATTCGAGTCAAGATCACTGGCAGTACTGCTGTTTGTTTTGTCTTTCATTGTGTCTTTCTAGGTATCCAAATTAGAAGAGTACAATGCAAAATCTGATTGTTCGCCTTCACAGCGTGGGTGCCCGTCAGTTGTTAATTAATTAATCCAAAATAGGTCCACAGCCACAGATGACGACTTGCACTTGACTCGCACGCACAGCAACTTCAGAAGCGCTACCCACGGGCCATGACCAGCCTGCGACTATAAGTACTGCTCTTTGGTTGTTTATTTCTTTCCTGCATACAGCCACGAAGACAACATATTCTATACTTTTGAATCATGAGCAACCCTCCGCGTGGCAGGGGCGGTAACCGCGGTGGTCCGCCTGGTGGCCCTCGAGGTGGTGGTGGTGGTGGTGGTGGTTTTGGCGGAGGAAGAGGCTCTGGTACGAGGGGCGGGTATGGCGGTGGTCCCAGAGGGGGAGTACCAGGAGATTTGATCTTCCGGGGCCCTGCGTCTGTAGACCAACGCCTGGCAACCTTGGATCAACTGGTCTCTTCCTTTAAAAAACTCGCCTTCAACCCCGCGCGCCCTCACCGGCCTGGCTACGGCACCCTTGGCCGTTCAATCACATTACGAGCCAATTTCTTTCCTATCAAGCTTCCCAAGGGACCCATTTACGACTATCGTGTCGAAATTACGCCGTCCACAGACATTAAGCGCATTCGTGCGCGCCTTTTTTGGTTCCTTGAACGGAGCAATCAACAAGGCTGGAGAGAGCTCGTGCCTTTCACTGCTCACGACAACAGTGAGAGGCTAGTATCCTCCAAGAAGCTACCTCAGCCTCTTGACGTGCAAGTCCAATATTATGAGGAAGGAGAAGCTGGCCCCAATGCCAAATCCAAGACATATACTTTCGGATTCACCCACACGGGTGACTTGGATGTTGCGAAGCTCACGAAGTAGGTTATGGGAAGCTACCTCCTTTGTTCTCGCGTTAATTCATGGCGGCCAGGTATCTCAGTGGCAACATCGAGTCACGGGACTTTGACGTCCAGCCACTGTTATCTGCTGTGAACCTCGTGCTTCAAACGCATGCAGCGCGTACCGGTGTTCGTGTTGGCAAGAATCGCTATTTCTTCCCCTCGCAAGAGCGCTTTGAGCTAGCGCTTGGCGTGGAGGCCTGGAAAGGCTTCTTCACGTCCGCCAGACCTGTGTACAAGGAACTTATGGTGAACGTTGGTGTCTGTATGACTGCCTTCTACAAGCCTGGCAACCTTGCCGAAGCTATCATGGAGTTCAACCGGACATCCAATGGCGCTATGCTCCAACGGTTTACCCAGAAGCTCAAGGTGACCACGAGTCATTTAGGGTACAGGCAAAAGAAACCAATCAAGAAGATCATGTCTACGACTGCGAGGCAGACGTTTTTTAACTGCGAAGAGTACGGTGGCAAGATATCTGTTGAAGATTATTTCAAGAAAAGTTCGTTTCCTTAATCACATACTTCATTCACTCGCTAATTCTACGGTAGAGTACCCCCAAATCAAGCTGAAGCATGCACACGACGTCCCAGTCGTTGACATTTCAGGTCCAAATTCGAAATTCTCCATATACGTACCGGCCGAGCTATGTGAAATCGAGCCTGGGCAACCGTTCAGAGGGCGTCTCAACGAGAAAGAAACGTCGAACATGATTCGGTTCGCCTGTAACCCGCCCAGAGTCAACGCAGATGCCATCGTTGAACGCGGTCTTCCCACCCTTGGATTCACGCCTCAGACGCTGAGCAGTCCTATGAGCAACTTCGGCATGGCCGTGGACAATGACATGGCGGTTGTCCCTGCACGTGAACTTCCCCCGCCCCGCCTCAGCTACAAAGCAGGGAAGCCACCCAACGTCAGCAACGGCAGTTGGAACATTCTTGATGTCAGTTTCCACGTCGGCGGAGCCATCAAGACGTGGTGGGTGCTTGTCATCAAAGACGGACAAAGCGTGTTCAACGGGCCCAAGGACCCGAATTTGGAGGGAATTTGGAGGGGCTTTGGTGAGAAATGCCGCAAAAGCGGCATGTCACTGGGGTCAACGCCTATCTTGTTGAACCAAGATCTCGTCCCTCCCGCTCGTGATCCATCCAGGCAGCAGGCGCTGGACCTGATTCGCCAGAATATCAAGCGACACATTGCTGAGAAAGGAAAACCGACGTTCATACTCGTCATTCTCTCTCGCCGGGACAACTACATTTACCCTGGCATAAAGCGGATTTGTGATGTCGAGTTGGGCGTTCACACCCTCCATATGCTTACAGATAAGGTGCTCAAAGACCGCAATAAACAAGATCAATACTTCTCGAATGTCGCTCTCAAGTTGAACACGAAACTCGGAGGTATCAATCATATGCTGGACCCGGAGAGCATGAAATGGTGGACAAAGTCCAAAACGATGGTTGTGGGCATGGACGTTACGCACCCCGGTCCTGGCAGCGTTGAAGGCACACCATCAATTGCCGCTGTTGTCGCGAGCGCAGATAGTTCTTTCGTCCAATTCCCAGCAAGTCTCAGGTGTCAGGAGACCAAGAAAGAGGTAGGCGATGTGGCAATGTTGTCGCCCTAACACTCACCCCTTCTTTATAGATGATCACAGACCTAACTGCGATGATGATAGAACGCCTCATGTTTTACAATCAGAAGAATCGAAGCCTGCCAGACCGAGTTTTTGTTTATAGGGACGGTGTGTCTGAAGTCAGCAGAGCTTTCTTCTCGATCTTGAAGTTGCTTGCTGATGTTGAATTGAAAGGGCCAATTCGATACTGTGCTGGAGGAAGAGCTTCCTAAGATGTTGGAGGCATTTAAGAGAGTCCCCCAAACGAAGCCATATCGCCCAGCGTTGACGATCATCATTTGTGGAAAGCGCCACCATGCCAAGTTCTGGCCGACCGACTCCCAGTACGCGGACCGGAACGGTAACACTCGTCCAGGAACTGTCGTCGACAGAGGCGTCACTGCAGTGTACGGCCCTTCTATTTGACCACATGTTGATTATTTTAACATTTTGATCATTGTAGATTTGACTTCGACTTCTACCTTCAAGCTCATGCTGGTTTGCAAGGCCACGTGAAGGCAACGCACTACACAGTGGTGTATGACGAGAACCACCTTGGCGCAGATGAAGTACAGCAGGGTACGCACACTGCTAGTTACCTGTACGCTCGCGCGACCAAGGCTGTGAGTCTCGTCCCGGCCGCGTACTACGCCGATTTGGCGTGCGAGAGAGGGAGATGCTACTTGAACGACTTCTTGAGTGCCGATGACAAGGTATCGAGCTCTGTCGTATCGAAAGGACAGGGGCGAGGGAAGTTGGACAAGGAGGAGGAGAAGAGACGTGTGTTTGAGGCGGCGAAGAAAGCATGGGGAGAGGGTGTTCACCCCGACTTGCGCTCGAGCATGTTTTATATCTGATCTGGTGGTCGTGTGCTGCGGGTTGTACTTGTATCTAAGTTTATCGTCTTGTATGTATTTGCGGATATGATATCTAAAAATATGTTTGTGTATCGTATGTAAAGCTTGGTCTGTGCGTGTGAATAAGGTGATTTTCTTGCTGAGTAAGCGACTTTATTTAAGACGCAACTGGAAGCTCTTTCCGGCAAACTGCTATTAGTGCTGAACCATGAATACCAACAGCAATCCCAATCGTATCCGAACTCTGAGCAGAGGCATCCGTGGTCGTGGAGGAGTTCAGCGGGGTACCGTTGCCCAACGGGGCCCTGCTGCAGGTCCTGCACGAAGCACCTATGGACCGCCTGCCAGGCCGCAGCAGGCAGGGGCCCCTCAAGGAGGTGAAGTTGACGAATTGCTCCGCTCCCATGAGCAAGCTCTAGATAAACGACGGCGCGAGGTTGGCATTCGGTATGAACGGCCTATCCGTCCAGGGTTCGGCACCCTCGGAGACCCGGTCACACTGACTGCCAATTTCTTCGCATTGAAGATTACAAATTCACTTGTTAATACGTATCATGTCAAAGTCGAACCGGCCCGGAACGCCAAGGATGTTCAGCGCCGTCTCCTACGTTTACTCGAGGAGACCGATGACCAGCCTTGGCAAAGTGTCAAGTCATTCGTGGCATTTGATGGGAGAGAAACACTGGTATCTGCGAAGGAGTTGCCCCAACCCATGCAGATTTCTGTGAGCTTCTTCGAGGAAGGGGAGACGCCTAGTCCAAACTCGCCAGAATATACCGTCTCCTTCCAACTGCTTCGCAAATGGGAGATGAGCGAACTAAACAAGTAAGTACTGAGCCAAGAGACGTGACACTTTATCTTAATCTTATTGTCCAGGTACCTGCACTGCGACGCCGACGTTGACATTTCCCCGCTCATATCTGCATACAACATTGTTATTCAACAACATGCATCCTCCACTGCGACTCGAGTCGGAAACAGCCGCTACTTCGGGTTCCCGGATTACAAGGCAAATGAGCTCTCCCCCGGGCTTACGGGTTTGCAGGCATTAAGAGGCTTTTTCTTGTCTGTGAGGCCCGTTTTTGGAGAGTTAATGGTCAATGTTGGTGTGTGCATGACACCGTTCTACAAGCCCATTGGACGGCTGGACTTGGCGTACAATGAATCCGCGGATCGTTCCAAGGGCGCAATTCCGCAGCGGTTTGCTCAGAATGTCAAAGTGACCACCACGTATCTTGGTTACACCAAACGTCGCACGTTGTTACGGATCACGTCGTCGTCTGCAGAAAAAACGACATTTCTCAAGGATGGACGCCAAATTTCAGTCGCCCAACATTTTCAGGAAGGTACTGTCGTCATTTAGCTGCCAGTACCTCTTCATTAAGCTGATCGTGAGACACTAGCGCACGATATAGCTCTGAAACGTCCCGATCTCCCACTTGCTGACCTCGGGACAGAGAGGAGGGCGGTCTATGTCCCCCTGGAGCTGTGTACCATCGAGTCGCAACCATTCAGAGGTCTTCTTGATGATCGAGAGACTACGAAGATGCTGAATCACGCATGCCAGCCTCCAGCTGCCAACTTTGAAGAGATAATCAAACGAGGATTACCCTCGCTTGCTTTGACTAAACCCAAGGCGAGCCTTCTGGACAAGTTCGGCATATCGATCAGTCAGACGATGACCGATATTCCCGGACGAGAGCTGCCTCCGCCCAAAAGTCTACTATATCGTTCCAGTTCTCTTGCCATACAGCCGGCAAAAGGAAGTTGGAACCTCGCGAATGTGAAGTTCCACACTGGGGCTTCCGTTGCCAAATGGGCGGTGGTCGTCGTTGGCACGTCTAGGGACGAAGACGTGTCCAAAGTGTGGAAAGGGTTCAAAGAAGGTTGTCAGAATTCGGGAATGATGTTTGACGAATCGCCCCCGACTATTGCCAGAACATCCCAACTGCCCCGACAGTCTCAGGACAGGGATCGGTCTAAGGATATAAAGGAAATCAAGCAGACCATTCAGGACATCAGCAGGGACAACCCTACGTTTGTGCTGGTCCTCTTACCTTTCCGTGACACGAAGCTATACCCCGGTGTCAAACGCATCTGCGATGTCGAGCTCGGGATACATTCTGTCACGATTGTCCTGGACAAGATCTTGAAATCCAAGGGTCCGCAGCAGTACTATGCTAATATCGCCTTGAAGCTGAACCAGAAACTCGGGGGCATCAATCATACTCTCGATGCTAAAAGCACACGCTGGCTCACTACGAAGAGCACGATGCTCGTGGGCATGGATGTTACCCACCCTGGACCTGCCAGCAAGGCAGGCACTCCATCCATCGCTGCAGTCGTCGCCACTATTGACGAGACTTTCGTGCAATGCCCTGTAAGTTTGAGGTGTCAGAAGTCAAAGCAAGAGGTATTGCGCTCTAACAAATTCTTTGCCTTCGGCAAGCTGATGGACACCTACAGATGATAGACGACTTAACGGAGATGATGCTAGAAAGACTGAGAGCGTATAAGAAGACTAGTGGTTCCCTTCCAGAGAGAGTTATCGTCTACAGAGACGGTGTCTCAGAGGTAAGACAATAAATTTTCAACCTTTTGTGCAGAACGCTCACCCATAACCTAGGGTCAATTTGACACGGTGCTCGAGCGCGGCTCTGAGAAGGACAAGATACTGGATGCCTTCAAGGCCATCCAAAAGGAAACCGAGGGTCTTGCAGAGTATCGGCCCCATTTGAGTATCATCATTTGTGGGAAACGGCACCACGCGCGCACCAGGCCGACAAACTCAAAGAACGAGAGCCGAAACGGAAACACGCGCCCTGGAACAGTTTTCGATCGACGCATCACTGCCGTGTAAGTCCTTTCTGATCTGTGAAATTCCCAGCTCATATTCTCGTTTCTGCCAGTTTTGATTTCGACTTTTATTTGCAAGCTCACGATGGGCTCAAGGGTCACGTGCGACCTACGCACTATACAGTTGTCTACGATGAGAATGGTTTCAGCGCCAACGACATACAACAGGGCACGCATACCGCGAGTTACTTATATGCCCGTGCCACCAAGGCGGTGAGCCTTGTCCCCTTGGCGTATTATGCTGACCTGGCATGTGAGCGGGCGCGGTGTTACCTTGAAGGATTTCTCAATTCGGAGCAGCCCCCCGCGTCTGGTTCCTCAAGTAAGAAAGGAGGAGGGAAGGGTAAAGGGAAAGGCGTAGCGAAAGAGGCGGCAGACGAAAGAGAGGCGGCGAAGCAACGTGTTTACGATGCTGCTCTTCAAGCATGGGGTAATGGGGTCCACGCCAATTTGAAGGAGATGATGTTCTATATCTGAAGATGGACGACTTGATTCTGCATAAGTAGTACTTGCGTTATCGTGTCTGCCTTGTGTGGATGTGTGGATGTGCCTGACAATTGAATATTGCCATTAAGGCCGCTATCTACATATGCCCGGGCCATGATGCCGCCCTTCTGACAAACGACTACAACTCCAGCTGGCGAAATAAATTTTCTCATGAACTGGACAACACGACCGATGTATCACGGAATGACTCGATGCTCTATCTGTCCAGAAAATAGACCACAAACCGGGCAGCCAAATGGGTCTACTTATTGCGCAGTTCTCTCCTTCCACACGGGTGTCGTGACTCGTGAGGCAGACGCACATTCAATAATTGAAGCCCATTTTCACCACACAGATCTAGGGGATGAATGCATTATACAAAAAGCGGAAGGGCAAAGGGTTCAAACAGTCAAAGGCAAGAATGAACACATTTAAGAGTTTCCCAGTGTATCTGACTCTGACATAGAATGATCCAAATGCTAAGCACACTTCTTCTGATACCAAGGCATCGCAGGATGACAACTCGAGCCAACTGGTATGCGGCGCTATCGCTGTACTCAACCCCCACAAAAAACCTGCCAGTTTGTATCGACCTGGCGAAAGGCATTCTCGAAACTATCAACATCCTTCTATTGCGCAGGTAGCCTTTTTTCCTGAATCGATCTTTAGGTATACACAGCTAGTTATCAAGATAAAGTCTAATTCCTTGGCGATAGCCGCCGACAAGTGCGAGATAGAAATGTCTTTACAAGGGCGATAAAGAATGCTACCAAAGACAATCTGCCAGAATCTTCAGGGGATGCTTTACCACAGCTTAACGTGTGAGCAGAACGGGTTTCATCTCTATTTTGCGTTCAGTACATGTTTTGATAAAGGGTTTCATTACTGACATACCCGGACCCTTCATTTGCGTTGCAATTATTTCTTAGAACTGCAACAGCACAGAGTCTGTACAGTATAAAGGGCGCTACTGGTGGTGGTGACTTTGTGTTGCGTCTCCGGGCACTGCGGGCCATACGCCCCACACGGCTCCCAAATGCACGTGTCAGTGGTCTCTGTGCCGGGCATGGCTCGTGCACTGATAGGACTGACAGCCGTAAGTGCCAGGAGGATGACCATCAAGAGATCCATCTAGACCATCAGTGTCGTGAGTCCAATCTACAGGTTGGTGAGGTGAGGCTTACCGTCAAACGGTGCATGATTTTCAAGATAAGTGTGGGTTTGTTTTTTGGTTGGTGTTCGTCAGTTCTGTGCTCACGCACTTTATAGCTGTTCGTTCAAGTATCAAACGTAAGTTCGAAAACAGCATCTCGCCTACTAAGTCTCTCTAGGCAGAAAAAAATGAAGGAAAACAGTTGTTCCATACTACCACCTCAAGGCTAAATGAAGTGCCAGGCGAGTTAGGGTATGACAAGGGCGATCTTTGCCCAGGTACCTACTGTGGAGCACTTACAGTCACACGTGTTGGTCGGGTGGAACGAGTGACGGGTACCTGTGATTGGTTCACCCGTGCGGGTACGCCTGCAAAACTACCCACGAGTATCCGCGGGTGCAGGAGATCCGAAAAGTGCGGCGTGCACTGTCTCTTCTCTCTGCTTGCATGCTGGGCATAGCGGTGAGTCTACTGCATTTATTTTGGCGAGGTGTTTGTTGAGGGGGGCGTAGCCCGTTCTCAGTTCAAGTTGCACAACTAGACGACATACTGTAACGTGGTGATAGCGCGAAGACCTCTTCGTATCCTTATTTTATCGCTGCGTGCGCATCTTCAGGATGGCCCATGCATTACTAGTGTGCGTCACTACGTAGATACACGTATTAGGTTTACAGCGCACGGATAAAAGGTAAGGCTGTGAGTCGGGAAAGGATGCCTGGCATCGTTGTGCCACTAGTAGCATAGACTATTATCGCTTAGCCTCAGCGGATGTATCCTAGCTTTGGTCTACAGGCTAAAGGGATATATCCTGCCCATAATATGGTAGATACAAACATACATTTTCGAGTCCAAGATCTCTCTAGGGGAGGCTAATATTCTCCCCTCAAGCCGACTTCAGGGAATGGTTGCACAATATCATGATGTGATAGCTCAGCCTTCTCATAGGAAATTAACATAGTACTTAGTATAGCCTGATGTATAGTCGACATACGGGGACGTCGGCCCATAAAACTACACAGCAGGTACAAAGGGAAGCGACCTATCGCTCTAGCAGTCCCAAGTCTCCCTTCTCCACGCACCTATCCACGCCATGACAAAATACAAAAACCCTGCAGGTAATATGCAGACTCTTGCAACGATACCCCAATCCCACCGGCGTCCAGCCAACTTGCGTGTCTCCTCACCCTTGAGTTTCACATGCGGCCGTAGACGATCAGGGACCGCGGATGCGCGAGTGCCTGTATCTGACGGGAGAAGGTTGCTTGTCACCCATATTTGAATGCTACGAGAAATGCACGTCGTCGTCCCTATAACAGCCCAGCACACATCTGGACGTATTGTGGTCCAACGCAGCAGTGCATTGTCCAGGATATTTAGTGTAGGGAATGCGACATCGACATTAACCCCTAGTCCGCCAAGGATGTCGAGCGTAAAGTGGGTTGCAGGCCAACAAATGGCCTGCAAAGCGAGAAGGCGTATTAGCGTGGATAAAGGGGCGTAGTAGGCACGCCACCGGTGAAGGAGTCCGGTTGTTAACTGGAGGCATTGGTGTGCCGTTAGTAACGCCTGCAGATGAGATATCAGCCACGAGATTGACCATCCCAAAAATCTAAAACCTTACCCAAAGAACGGCCAGGAAATAATCAGCTCTGTCCGGCAGGGCGATGCGACCCCAACTGTCATGCTCCCGGTTTATTCGAGAGCATGAACCGGGGGCGACGTGTTCTGAGTACAGTCCTGGAGGTTTCCACATACACCAGGCGTTTATTAGGGCGCCTAATGAAGCAGGGACGACAGACAAGAGGCGCGATGCATCGAAAAGTAGAGTTGTCAGAGTGCTTGGTGGAACTAATGGCTCTGAGGCAGGTAGGATACGCGTCGTCGGAAGATGGCGCGGCTGCAATACGCGTCCAAGTAAGAAAGGAATGAGGTATATGTCGACAAATCCTCACAGGTTCGTCAGTCTCGGTCTCGGTCTCACCCGCACCCAATTGTCCTGGAGCAGTCGTTATCTGCTGTGATTTGGGCTTCCGCCAGCCAAGGCCTACACTCAGGAATGCATGGAACCCGCTCGCTCGTGAGTCCTTCACTACTCGTGTATTATTGTGACGGTGTATATCTTGATTGCTTCGAGTGCGTCTAGCAGTATATATAACACTGGCCATGTCTTCGTCATCGTCTGGACTCAGTTCCTGGTCAAGTTTCTCGGAGAGCAAGTCGCGCATGGAAGGTAATAATGCAGGAGAAACGACAAAGCCCTGTGGTCGTTTCCGTGATGATGGTGGTGGCGTAGACACTGCAGAGGGTGTCTGTGTCTGGGAGGGGTGTACGCGAGTGTCCGCGGGAGTGAGCAAGTCGCACAAATGTATGTATGGTGGTTTGCAGCACGATGTAGTTCGTGATGAAGATAAGGACGAGGATGAGGAAGACGAATAGGAATACGACGAAGTTGAGCTCAGGCCAGGTGTGGAAGCCGGTGTTAACTTCAAGGTATGCGACCGTCGTCTTGAGCGAGCCTTGCTTGTTGCAAGACTCGACGTGGTTGATGCTGCCATCGACATGTTCAATGGTGAGCTCAAATGTCGGCGATAAGAAGTGAAACTCACAGCAAAACCCTTATATATGGTTCACACTCAATCCCAGACCTACTGTTTTGACGTCGACGTTAACTTGAGACACACCTTTGTGCCTAAATATGAATTGCTGTATTGAGTAATATGGTTTCGGCAGATGCCGCAGGAATTCCGAATCCCTCTGTCAAACTCTACTACTACAGACTTTGTCTTTCAAACGCTTTTACTCCCTCAACGTAGATCATGGATCATGGACCATTGCTTGTATATAGCATATGTACTCTCTCGCGTCTATTCCCTGAGACTCGGCCATTAGTACGCCATGGACCCTCTTCTGCGGCTTTCTGTAGCACCTGCGCGTCCACGCGGCTGCATGGCATTCAGAAGAACTGGAAGACACAGAATTGATGTCACGAAGAACGGGTATCTAGATGTATTCATATACAGATGTAAGGGTCCCCCACTATGTTGCATGGCCAACCGCCGTACTCCCCATGTCAGCTTCATGTTGAACTCATTTTCGTGATCTAAGTTCACGTGTGAGGTCGTGAATGTTGCACCACGAGGCTGCTTACATCATAGTTCGTCTTATGGAACGAGACTCGGCTTGAATACGTTCACATGCTGGGCCAACTTGTGGGGGAAGACATCTGGTAAGTACGTCTAGTATCAAGGCCGAACGCCCCGCCAGTCACTTAGTCCCTGGACAGCTCAAGCTCATCCCCTCGATTTGGTTCATATTTTTGCCGTTCTAAACAAGTCCTGGTATTTCGTGGACTCATCGGCGTACGTTTCCCATTGGTCTTGACGCAACATGTGAAGCTGTTATCGGGTTTGCGTGGCTGTACGCAAGGGTTTCATCCCGGTCTCGCGGAACATCTTCACTGATTTGACCTTGAATCACTCATGTTCCGGGTATGTGGCTGAGTGTGGTGCACTAGGCGATCCTTTCCCCCTCTTTCTCCACTGCCAATGGTGTGGTACACGTTCTGCTTATGATGACCTCATCTCGTCAACCCTTGTTTCATTCATATGTCGCTGGTTCATGCTCAAATATTCAACCTCGGCGAATTCTCCACGAATTTTCCAACCAAGAATAATCAATGTCCGACCTTACTAATGATCACCGACGATTCCCAGGGCCAACATAAATCTTATCTTTGAAGCTCCCAGCGCAACAACCATACCGATGAGGATGTGTCAAGCGAGAGCAATCCTTGCGTTTTAACTATGTTTTGTACAGAACCTCACCACGGGCAGCCTATTTTCCCTACAGGGGTTTGCTAGTCCTCTATTTCCGGCTAAGACAACTGGACTTCCTTGTACGACCCAGAAATCACTCTGAAGCAGACAAATTCTGTCCACGTCAACAAATATCTCTCTCACTCATCCTAGACCCTGCCGGTGCTGAACAGCCAACGGGCTGAAGTTCATCATGTGTAATGCATATTCCGCATCAAGTGGCCCATCTGTTGTCGTGTCGACTCCAGGGCATCCGTCCTGCGGCTTTGGGTGGGCCACCATATCCACCCAGGGCTCCAGGGTCAATACATAACCTCTCGTCATCCAACTGACCATGTGTAGTTGGCGATTGCGGACGATACAATCTGCATTTGAACAAAGGCCGATCACGCACCCAGTGAACATCGGACAGTGCGGGAGGATGTCAGAGTGTGCGATAGAAGTATGCAACGTGGGAGCGCAGCACATGCAAATGCACAATTCTGCATTCCCCTCGCACTTATTGCGAAACTGCACGGATCCCTCAATGTATTGACAAAATTTTCGCATCTGCTACTCAGTGTACAAGAAATGCTTCTAAGTGTAAAGTCCAACTTCACGATGTTCGGATCTCTTGTTCCCTTCCTACCATCATGACTACCAGTACGGTCCAGCAGCGATGCGGCCTACTCGATGTCCCTGGCCCCAAAACATTCGAATATATTCCTAATGTAATTTTATTTGATGTGGGTGGTATGCAACTCATGTATTTGTGTGCATAGGGCACATATATGCGCAATTTCCATTGCTCGTAGTCGTATGAATCAGAGAGAGTCAGAGGTAACAAAAGTAGCGAGTTTTCATTAAGTTTGCATCATCCACTCAAATGACAGTCGCACGACGATGCACGATATTGACTCCTTTTCCATTGTGTGTTCGTCTGGATTTATTGTCGATCGTATATTGTGATGGTTTTGGTGCAGTTGGAAAGATCTTTTCAGACGGACTTCCTCACGATCATGGTTAGCGCCGTACACGGGGTAGAGGTTCCCATCGGCGATTGTATTGAAGTTGAATTGTTCTAGTATAGAATTTTTCGAACCAGTGGGCGAACCATGTTTTAAGCTTAAGCTTGAGCTTTGTTTCTCATGCCTCAGGAGTTGTAGACGCTCTGAAATAGGATATCGGGAATTTCGCAACCACAGCACAGACATAACATTTTTATATATATAAAATCTGACTTTACAAGTCCAGTATGGCCAACATGCATAAGCGAATGAGATATGTACATCCACCGTGCCAAAGCTTGCGCCACTATTCCAAGATCTCCATTGCTCGAGCGGCAGTATTACAAACCTGTTCCGAAGTAATTACATCAATCAACCCAGTTGAACAGACTACCAGTAACTCACGTCGTGCCATCAACCATACTGCACTGTGAAAGCAGAAATACAACTAACTGCCGCACTAGAAGCATACGCCGGCCTGCCCCATCGGTGAGTCATGTGGCTAAATTCTGGACGCAAACTACTCACACAGACTTGCTTAGGACAGTTTACGCATTGTGAAGACTTCTTGCAAAAGACAGGGCATTTCTGGGCCTGGGCGTCACTGGCAGAAACGGATACTGTCAAAGCAGCAAGGACGGCGAGTACAAAGGAGAAACGCATGATTTCTTTGTGAGGATGGGATCTGAATAATTCTGAATGCACACTAGTAGGACTCCAGACGCTTTGCTTTTATGGGATTTTCAGGAGGATTTAAGAAGAGCCTATCGACCTTAATCCCTTTCGAACAGAAGATATTTGCAATGCCAGCAGATTGCCAAGTAATATCTATTCAGTTTGGTGTCGTACTTGTCAGTCGGTCGATGTTAACGTCGACCAGCCAGCCCTGAAACATGAATTCATAGTCCGCATTCAACATCTCGGTGGAGGACTCATCTCTAAAATGGCCAGCCTGGGCCTTTGAAAGCCTGGGACACAGAAGGTCTAACTGCCAAGGGCTTCCCCAAATCTGGACAAAAGACAAGCGGTGAGCGGGAAGTGACTCGGATGTATGGCGGCGGGCGCATTGGCGGAATGATACATAGGCGTTACAAACATACAGCGGGGTTTGAGCCAGACTTTGTCCGTACTTTGGCACGGACGTTGTCCCAGACCGGCCAAATATTGGCTTTCTATCTCGGTGTGAATTGCGTTCGGGACAGAGAAGATATTGGCCACCAAGTTCGATAGTGCAATGAATCTCCGAAGACGAAAAGTACGTCTGGCGAAGGGCCTTGCATACCTGTAAGCAAGCCTATTATCAATATAAAAGTCTGTAACAATATTGAGTTTGCCTTGACACTCGAGGTTGGGCGGCGAAACAGTGTGGAAGTTGAATTTCGTTGGCAGTCGCTCTGAGTCACATGACAAAGATCGCCGTTAGTACGTAACCATCGCTAGAATAAAAATTCTGCTTCCACTTCTCCAAAAAGATAATGCGGTCGTTGGTCATGCAGGTACACCAGGGTGCCACCAGTCTTCTCCCCGCGGCTCAGTTCAATATTATCCCTGAAACAAGTGGGAGGAGTACATGGCATACATGTCGACACTAATGGCGCTCTGGCACACTCGGCTGGCTCTTCATTTAGGCTCTTGTGTATTTGTTTGTCATGATCAAGAAATTCTGCATTATCTGACTTGAAGGGTATCAACAGCTGAATAGGCCAGCAACGAACATGAGTATAAGCCCGACGCCAGCTGTGAGCGAGGAAATTATACGACAAGTGGCCTTCTCCACGATAACTAAACTAGCAAATTGGTAGGAATTGTCTTTCGTACAGAGTACTAATTGTACTAGTACTACTAGTAGTGGAATTTCCAGCACTGCGCTTCACAAAATGAATCGATGAAGTGTTGACAAGACCTGCAAAGCCTTGGTTTATGTACAGGAGACTCGGCCTGAAGATAGATAATGCAGTGCCTGTGTATCCTCCCAGATCTGCGGCTGGAACGTTGTCTATGCCTGTGCCAACGATAAGACATGTGGCCTCACCTTCAATGAACCAGCGATACGGTGCACGGAAGCTACAATTCGTACACGACCTGCGACATTTTTGCAGCGGCGGCTCTGGTATGAGTATACTATATACAGTAAGGAACCTAAAAATGATTGTTAACCTGAGATCGCTACGGTCGCTGGTCGCGGGCCTCCGCCTGTCATTCAGTGTAAATGTTGTCCCATGTTGGCCCTGAAAATGAGCGAAATGAGTGGCCATGGAGCACGCATACATGCTGTCAACTTGTTGTCATTAACGGGAATTAGATGGAACAACTGTCGTCCGTCTATTGGGTCTGCCTAGGGGAGACTATGCATGATTGCTGTCTTCAAACTGACAAATCAGTACTTTAACGACCAGCAGCTATAAAGTGCGTGAGCACAGAACTGACGAACAACCAACCAACAAAAAAACCCGTACTTAGCTTGAACTTTTTGACGGTAAGCCTCACCTCACCAACCTGTAGATCCGACTTATGACACTGATGGTCTAGATGAATCTCTTGGCGATCATTCTCCTGGCATTTACTGCTGTTGGTCCTCTGGGTGTACGAGCCATGCCCGGCTCCGAGATCAGTGACACCGAGTCCGTATGCTATTGGAGTGAATGCGGGTACCCGTGCGCGGCACAATGGGGTATTTCGGGTGCCAGGGATTGCGAATTATACACTGGTGCTACGTCGATTCAGTACGAATGCTGCAGGTGAGGAGAAACCATTGTGACTCAAACGATGGTCTGGGTATGTCAGCGATGAAACACTTTGTCAGAACACGTACTGAGCGCACCATAGGAGTGAAAAAGTTCTGCCCGCAACTTGAAAGAGATTCTCGCAGAATGTCTATGGTAGCATCCTTAGTTGCCCTTTTGTCCAATGTAAAGACTTTCCTGATGGTGTCATACATGCCGACTATCGCTAAGAAATTAGACTTGTTCTTGATAACCGACTGTGCATGCCTAGGGTCCAATTGAAGAAAGGGCTGCCTGCGCAATAGAAGGATGTTCGCGATAGTGTCAATGATGCCTTTCGCCAGGTCGATGGGAACAAGGTCTTTGTAGGGTTGATGGCGGTACCAGCAGAGGCGTGCTTAGCATTTGAATAAGTCTATGTTAGGGTTGAATGACACTGTAAAAGTACAACATCTTGCCAAGGAAGGAAGAAATTCTTCAGCAAGAGATATCAACTCTGCTTTGGGGTCGTTAGCTTGATGCTGCATCATCATACCTAATGTTGACGTCGCGACTTGGGAAAGGTGGATGAAATTTTAATTTCGCAGATCGATCGTCATTGACCCTCTAGATCTCTATGATCGCTGGGATCAAAACTCTGCTTCCGCTGTCTCTGGCCTCGGCAGAGGATGCGCGTATTCATGAGTCGGTGTATCGGGTAGACTTCGAGGTTGGTATGGGTTTCCCTTCATTTGAATTCGTGCCCGGTCTACCGGAAGCTACACCTACGACGCCTCCAGCCCCTCGCCGAGATTGGCACGTGGTTGATTCTTCTTCTTCTGAGGTTAACCTGTACTTGGCTTCAGCGAATACACCATAGAATTAAGAATGTCATAAGGATGTAACCACAGGAAAGGCAGCGCCGACGACTTGTTTACAACCGTAGGTCGCCAGCTACAGTTGGATTTGCTAGAGTCATGATCTCGACTCGGATCCAAGCGGGCGATCTTCTCGGGTCGCTCATCATCAGCCACCGATGCCTCACGGATGAAGTGGGATCGGTACGTTTCCTTTTCCCGAAGGCTCGGCGTCGAACCGAGAAAGAACATCTTTCAAATGCAACAAGAACCCCAGGCTGGATAACCTTAATCACAATACATACAGGTGGCTTCCGTGGACCCCCACAGCACTCGGGCGTGCATCAGCGCGTTCTGTGTAGTCCTTTGTTCAGTGACGGCGACTTCGAGAATCCAGAACTGAGAACGCGGCGCAACTTGGATAGTGGTTGTTGGTATGATAAGTGTAACGTGTTTGTACTAAAACATAACCAAACATTTCAGCAGAGTAGTTCGGTTGTCTAAACGACTGTAGTAACCATCGCTGGAATAAAAATTCTGCTTCCGCTCTTCTCTGAGCTCCAAAAAGATATTGCGGTCGTTGCATCAGCAGGTACACCAGGGTACACCAGGTCTCTCCCCGCGGCTCAGTTTCAATATTGTCCCTGAAACAGGGAGGAGCACGTAGCAGTATTACATATTGTCATCTCATACGCTTGCTCCGACACTTCATTTAGGTTCATGTTACGTATTTGTTTTTCATGATCAAGAAATTCTGCATTATCTGACTTGAACGGTAGCAGCAGCTGAATGCACCAGCAACGAACATGGGTAAAAGCCTGATGCCAGCTATGAGCGAGGAAAGTATGCGACAAGCGGCCTTCTCCACGATAACTGAACTAGTACACTGTGGATAGTAAATACACGGAAATTCCGTGATCTGATCATTGAAATTTCCTTAGAGACCTTCTATTGAAATCCAGCGCATACTCACTGAAATCAAGTGATTCTATTATCACTGAAACGACCGACCTACTCTATGAGAATTTCAATAGAGGCTCTCTACTGAAATTAAGTACTTGAGGCTGTCGCCAGTCGGGAAACCAAAAATATAAACTTGACTACCATTTCCGTGACAGAATCTTGGAAATTTCCGCGACCCGTAACAAATACGTTGAAATTAATTGATTCTACTACCCACAGTGAGTAGGAATTGTTTTTCGTGCAGAGTACTAATTGTAAGTAGTAGTACTAGTGGAATTTCCAGCACTGGACTTCACAAAATGAATCGATGAAGTGGTGACAAGACCTGCAAAGCCTGGGTCGTCAATAATATTTCGTAGTAGGTCTCTAGTTGATGTACAGCCGGCTTGAAGATAGGTAATGCAGTGCCTGCGTATCTTCCCAGATCTGCGGCTGGTTGTTGGTTGTCTATGTCTGTGTCAACGAGAAGACATGTGACCTCACCTTCACAATGAACCAGCGATACGGTGCACGCAAGCTACAATTCGTACGCGACCTGTGACATTTTTGCAGCGGCGGCTCTGGTATTAGTATACAGTAAGGAACCTGAAAATGGTTGTTGACCTGAGAACGCTACGGTCGCTGGTCGCGGGCCTCCGCCTGTCATTCAGTGTAAATGTTGTCCCATGTTGGCCCTGAAAATGAGTGAAATGGGTAGCCATAGAGCATGCATACATGCTGTCAACTTGTTGTCATTAACGTGATTTAGATGGAACAACTGTCGTCCGTCTATTGGGTCTGCACTGGCATAGGGGAGACTACGAGTGATTGCTGTCTTCAAACTGACAAATCAGTACTTTAACGACCAGCAGCTATAAAGTGCGCGAGCACAGAACTGACGAACAACCAACCAACAAAAAAACCCGTACTTAGCTTGAACTTTTTGACGGTAAGCCTCAGCTCACCAACCTGTAGATCCGACTTATGACACTGATGGTCTAGATGAATCTCTTGGCGATCATTCTCCTGGCATTTACTGCTGTTGGTCCTCTGGGTGTACGAGCCATGCCCGGCTCCGAGATCACTGATACCTATTGCATTTGGAGTGAATGCGGGTACCCGTGCTCGGCACCATATGCTATTTCGGGTGCCAGGGATTGCGAATTATACACTGGTGCTACGTCGATTCAGTACGAATGCTGCAGGTGAGGAGAAATCATTGTGACTCAAACGATGGTCTAGGTATGTCAGCGATGAAACACTTTGTCAGAACACGTACTGAGCGCACCATAGGAGTGAAAAAGTTCTGCCCGCAACTTGAAAGAGATTCTCGCAGAATGTCTGTGGTAGCATCATTAGTTGCCCTTTTGTCCAATGTAAAGACTTTCCTGATTGTGTCATACATGCCGACTATCGCTAAGAAATCAGACTCGTTCTTGATAACTGATTGTGCAGACCTAGGGTCCGATTCAAGAAAGGACTGCCTGCGCAATAAACGGATGTTCGCGATAGTGTAAATGTTGTCCCTTGTTGTCCCTGAAAATGAATGAAATGGATGGCCATGCAGCATACATGTTGCCAACCTGTTGTCACTAACGTGATTTAGATGGAACAACTATCGTCCGTCTATTTGGTCTGCATAGGGGAGACTATGCATGATTGTTATATTCAAACTGACAAATTAGTCCTTTAACGAGCAGCAGCTATAAAGCGCGTGAGCACAAAACTGACGAACAACCAACAAACAAAAAAAACCGTACTTGGCTTGAACTTTTTGACGGTAAGCCTTAGCTCACTAACCTGTAGATCCGACTTATGACACTGATGTTCTAGATGAATCTCTCGGCGATCATTCTCCTGGCATTTACTGCTGTCGGTCCTCTGGGTGTACGAGCCATGCCTGGCTCCAAGCTCACTGACACCTCATGTCATTGGAAAGCATGTGGGTCGCCGTGCTCGGCGGCAACGGAGGCTCATGATTGCTATTTGAACGGTGTTGCGTCTATCCAGTACTACTGCTGCAAGTGAGGAGAAAGCATTGTAACTCAAACGAGGGTCTGGGTATGTCAGTGATGAAACACTTTGTCAGAACACGTACTGAGCGACCATAGGGGTGAAAAAGTTCTGCCCGTAATTCTCGCAGTGTCTACGGCAGCATCATTAGTTGCCCTTTTGTACAATGTAAAGGCTTTCCTGATTGTGTCATACATGCCGACTATCGCTAAGAAATTAGACTCGTTCTTGATAACTGACTGTGCAGACCTAGGGTCCGATTGAAGAAAGGGCTGCCTACGCAATAGAAGGATGTTCGCGATAGTGCCAATGATGCCTTTCGCCAGATCGATGGCAACAAGGTCTTTGTAGGGTTGGTGGCGGTACCAGCAGAGGCGTGCTTAGCATTTGAATCAATCTATGTTAGAGTCAAATTACACTGTGAAACTCTTAGACACGCGCACCCCCGCCTTCAAGTGTCTCCATTTTCTATACTTTGGCAATATATTCATCACCTGGATCTGTGTGGCGGGAGTGGGCGTCAATCAATGGGTGCGCGTCTGCCAGGGTGAGAAACTGCGCGGCATAATAAGCTGTCGTCTATCACGCTGTCAGGGAACTCGAAGTTAATTCAGATGTAGGCATTTCGTTATGTCGCGAAACCCCCAGGCTGGATTAACTTTCCGCTTGCTTGAAGGTCCTCTGCAGACTAATTTCAAGTTGGTTGCCTGGCGGTAGTATTTTGCTCTGAAATCTGTGATTTCCCGGACAGACACAGAACTTCCATGAGCCTAATTTCCAGTCCGTGGTCGATGGTTCTGACGATGATTAAAACTTTGGGATGGTAAAATTGGGTGAACGATGTCGATGAACCGTTAACGTTCTGGTTCAACCACTTTATTTGCATAACGTAATAACCGACATGTCAGGGAATTACATAATTCAAATTCTATCCGGCGCTGAGTTTACGCTCTTCCTCCGAGTCGTCTGCATGCATTACTAGCCATAGGACATTACTAGTAAGCTTAAGATGAGTTACCCGTCTCACTTGTACGTCTCTGACTCTCCTCTTGCGCCCCAACTTTTAAAGTAGCACTCATTCGCATGAGAAAATAAGTTTCTTGAGGTGCCGTCCGACATTGCTCGTAGACAATCATGCAACAGTCCAGGGAGCACTCGATGACTGAAATCAGTAGCTTCACCTGGGCTGCCGTGGAATCCCGAATTGAAGACAATCATTTGCCTCTTGCTCGAATCGCGGCTATACGCAACGGGCAAGTTAACGATCTCGATCAAGACTTGCAGAATCCGGAGTTGCATTCCAATTGGCGTGCTATATCACTTGTGTTAGCGCCGATGAGGCTGTCCATCTCATTGCAGCGATGCAATCAGTGTGATAGGTTCGATGTCACAGTTGTGAACTTGTGTGTCGACGAGTTGTTTCTGTAATTTACGGCGACTTGCCAGCTGGTTGATCAAGTTGATGATACAGGGAGATTGGCTAGACTGCATGCGGCACTGCAGTAGCGCCACACGAGGCCGTAAATGTTAAATGTTGCACATTAAGAAGATTTTATGGATCGTATTTGTTCACAATAGCCTTCACATAAGTACGCAAATCATCCATATCCACACTAGTGCATGCACAGCGCGCTATCTAGATTCGTCAGACCGCTTTCTTCAAGGTATAGGTAGGTGAACTTCATAATAGTGGCACAGGTTAGAGTACATATGTATATAGTAAAGGCTAGTGATATTGTGAGTATTCCGAGGTATTCAGTACAGACTGTACAGTCTGTATGAGAGTCATTATGTCTTGCAAATAAGATGCAAGCTCGTCATGAATCCCAGCACAAACATGTTAATCCTTGGAAGGCGAGTTAGTATCCGGGTTTTGCCGCCAATGGTTCTCCGCTGGGGGTGTGTTCTTGGCGACCTTCTTCTTGCTCAGAGTCGCTTGAATCCGTATCCTTTTGTGCAAGGGGTCGTCAAATATTGAAGTTAACTAGCGAGATGTAACACTCACGTTGATATATACCGGCACCTCTTGGCCATCCTCATCGAGAGGCGCCCACGGGAGGGGAGGGGTAACCCATCTGGCATGCTGTTCGGTTAACCAACATGGCAGCCCGATGATTGCACTCACAATTGTTCGCCTGTGCGTTCGGGGGATGGTGAGGCCCGCCTGTTTCGGGGGGGCCTAAATTGACGAAGATCATACAAGGGAGTGAAGCAATGCTCCGTCTTGCATCCATTGCGTGATAATCCAGCTTGTCTGTCATTCCACCATCTCATCGAAGCCGTCGCACCAACGGTGCTCACAGGCGCCACAATGGGGGCGGAAGCTAGAAGAGCAATGCTGATATTTTCTCCGCCTGCACCTAAATGAGTATATTAGTTTCCAACGGCATGACGCACTGACTTTTATCTGAGAGGTACAAGGAGTAGGCGGGACAATAAAAGACCTTGACAACGAGATGCACGTTCTTCAGGAGCTCGATGCTCGCGAGCTTCCCGAGGATGGCTGGAGTGATGTGCTTTATACGAGGCTTATCCATGAGCAAGACAGCGCCCGTAGTTCCTTTCTTGATCTGCCATGTTCCTTTGATACTAGCTGTGGCAATCCCAGACACATCTCTGGGGGATTTGGAGTTCATCGGAATGCGATATCAGGACTGATGTGAATTGGTGACTCACGCATGAGATTCAACGTTCAATTCGAGTCTCTTGACATTTTTCGACCAAGCTGTGAACTCAGACTCTTCCGGACAGTCTTTGGGTTGATGCTCGTTAGAATCGGGGTTGATACCTGCAGCGATGAGACGTTCTTTGAAATCATCTGAGTATATGGAACCTTCGGGGATCAGATTTCCCGTGTCTTTGTCGATCCTTCCGTACGACCCAACCTGCTCGACATCAACATACAACGACAGGATATATGAGCCACTGATTACACGCACTGGAATCTCCGAGGGTGGGTCCCAGTTGGGATACTTTCCGGTTGAAGCAAATATAAGATCAACGAACATGCGTTGCGCATGCGCCGGATTCGACTGCCAGTGGGTGAGCCAGTTCCACATGTGGTGGGTATATGGTTTGCCAGTGAGTGACGATCGAGGTTTTATAAGGGTGTAATGGCAGTGTACTGCTGTGTCCTGCTGTGTGACAAGCGTCAAAAACTCGGATGCATATACCAACGTGAGAGCATTCTGAGATTTTGTTCTGAGGATGCATTGATGAGGTTGTCGGATCCATTCAAACAAATATGATTGTTCATGATCAGATCAGAAAGCCTGGGTTGCTCGGATCTGTTATTACAATGTACAGTGGTTAGATGGGCCTTGATTGAAAATATTTCATCCCGACACCTGCTGTACCAGGCAACATTCGAGTCAGCTGCGTGCTACGCCGGCAGTGTTCACTGTTCAGTCGCAGTTCGATGATATCAATAGTGGCGTCGTGGCGGTGCCAGCTTTGTCAGCCTGTGCTGGACCGTCAATTTGCTCGTGATCTCGATCAACCCTTCTTCGTCTGCATATCAACGTTAGTAATTAGAACTCCGACAGAACTCATTGTAATTATCATCCGGAATTCCACCTCATCATGATTTTTAGATCAACTGTACATAGATCGAAGAGCCCCCTTTAATCGTTGCTGCTTCAATACTTTCCATTCTGTTGTTAGGAAACCGGTTCGCCATGTTATTGTCGCAGGCGCGCAGCCTGAGCACGAGCACCTTTTGAGCACAGGTATTTTCACAAGTGCGGAAGCAGTGCTTGGACTCATCTGAGTCTCACGCACTCACAGGAGCCTCGTCAGCTGCTCGAACCTGTGCGCATTCACGTTAATCTTTGTAAGTTTTATGCTTACTCCTTAGACAAACTCAGCCAAGCTGGTTATCCGCTTACAAGTTACTGGTGCTCTCCCTCGTCTGATCAGAGATATCTCGTCAATATAATTTACCGGCTCCCGACTTACAGACTTATCCATATCATGAGGAGGCGGTCTTGACCTTACACAACGCTGATCAATCGTGTCGGCCGTATATTTCCTCGTCTTTCCACGCATACACCTCTCGCTGCAGATCCTGCGGTAGAGTGGCCATTGGGGAGTATCCTTATGGCTATTATAACTGATCCTCATCTCTCAGTAGCCTTGCCACCAACCTTCGATGCAAATTCTAGGAGAGGAGCATCCATTCTGACCTGGATGAGTTCGTCAAGTTCCATAGAGCTGTCGTGTTTCGTTGGCACTCCGTGCCTCTCGAAAAATTTCCTATCAGCCTTTGACACACATCTCAGTTGCAGGGTACACCTCATTCTGGATAGGTCTTCAGTCTCCCAACTATCTCAAGCATATCAAGTAGTTTCACACGATGGCTGTAATTCTGCTCCGTCGGGTTTCTTATCCTGCCGCATGCTGCATCTACTTACTAGTATGTTTTGTTCCCGCTTCGTCACGACTTCTCGTATGTGTCACCAATTAGCTCATGCTTTTTCTGTGATAGTCAATTCCAAGACAAACATGTGGAGTAAACATTGACGACATGTAATTGGACAAAACGCTGTTCCATGCACTCTGTCATCCGTGCGGACAATCATACACTCCCCCCACACATACACGCCGTTCAGGCGCAGTCTGCATTCGGGCAGCCTACGTTATGCTACCCGGACGACGAGTCTGTCACCGTCGATACTACTCTCGCTCGTTTACAACAAGCTGCCCAAACTGCCTCGTGCTTTCCTTTCTTTGCTCGTTGTACAGATACTATGGACCCATGATATTCTTTCTTGTTGCGAAAACTAAGCGAGGTATAGGCTGGCACATTGAGAACATATTGTACAGGCAATACGAAAGTTATAATATTACATTATGATACAAACTCATCATGTACCTTAGCACAAATGCTGCCAATGGTTCGCTATTGCGGTTTGATACCTTATTCCTGCTCAGAGTCACTGGAGTCACTGGAATCCGTATTCTCCTGTACAAGGAGTCGTCAACGAAAATTGGACAGTTCGATATGATACTCACGCTGATGTATATCGGCACCTCTGTGCCATCCTCGCGGAGAGGTGCACACGGGAGGGGAGGGTGATCCATCTTGCACATTAAGAAGATTTCATGGATCGTAACTGTTCACAACAACCTTCATAAAGTACGCAAATCATCCATCACAGCGCACTATCTAGATTCGTCAGACCGCTTTCTTCAAGGTATAGGTGGGTGAACTTCATAATATTGCAATGGAATCTGAGATGGCGGGCACAGGTTAGAGTACATATGTATATGAAGGCTAGTGATATTGTGAGTATTCCGAGGTATTCTGTGCAGTCCATATGAGAGTCGTAATGCTGGTTGCTGGTGTTGCAAATAAGATGCAAGCTTGTCATGAATCCCAGCACAAACATCTTAATATATTTGTACCTTGGAAGGCGAGTTAGTATTCGGGTATTGCAGCCAATGGTTCTCCGCTGGGGGTGTGTTCTTGGCGACCTTCTTCTTGCTCAGAGTCGCTTGAATCCGTATCCTTTTGTGCAAGGTGTCGTCAAATATTGAAGTTAACTAGCAAGATGTAATACTCACGTTGATATATACCGGCACCTCTTGGCCATCCTCATCGAGAGGCGCCCACGGGAGGGGAGGGGTAACCCATCTAGCATGGTGTTCGGTTAACTAACATGGCAGCCCGATGATTGCACTCACAATTGTTCGCCTGTGCGTTCAGGGGATATTGATGCCCGCCTGTTTCGGTGGTGCCTAACATGATGAAGTTCATACAAGGGAGTGAAGCAATGCTCCGTCTTGCATCCATTGCGTGATAATCCAGCTTGTGTGTTACTCCACCATCTCATCGAAGCCGTCGCACCAACGGTCACAGGCGCCACAATGGGGGCGGAAGCTAGAAGAGCGATACTGATATTTTCTCCGCCTGCACCTAAATGAGTATATTAGTTTCCAACGACATGACGCACTGACTTTTATCTGAGAGGTACAAGGAGAAGGCAGGACAATAAAAGACCTTGGTAACGAGATGCACATTCTGAAGGAGCTCGATGTTCGCGAGCTTCCCAAGGATGTTTGGAGTGATGTGTTTAATGCGAGGCTTATTCATGAGCAAGACAGCGCCCGTAGTTCCTTTCTTGATCTGCCATGTTCCTTTGATACTTGCTGCGGCAATCCCAGGCACACCTCTGGGGGGATTTGGAGTTCATCAGAATGCGATATCAGGACTGATGACTTGGTGACTCACGCATGAGATTCAACGTTCAATTCGAGTCTCCTGACATTTTTCGACCAAGCTGTGAACTCAGACTCTTCCGGACAGTCTTTGGGTTGATGCTCGTTAGAATCGGGGTCGATACCTGCGTCGACGAGACGTTGTCTGAAATCATGTGAGTATATGGAGCCTTGGGGGATCAATTTGCCCGTGTCTTTGTCGATCAATCCGTATGACCCAACCTGATCAACTTGATCAATACATATGCAACGAACGAGGATGTGAACCACTAATCGCACGCACTGGAATCTCCGACGGTGGGTCCCAGTTGGGGTACTTTCCAGTTCGCTCAAATATAAGCTCAACGAACTTGCGTTGCGCATGCGAGTTCGGGTTGGTGAGCCAGTTCCACATTTGTGGTGAGTTTATGGTTTGCCGGTGAGTGACGATCTCGAGGTTTTAAAAGGGTGTAAGGCAGTGTACTGCTGTGTGCTGCTGTGTGACAGGCGTCAAAAACTCGGATGCATATACCAACGTGAGAGCGTTCTGAGATTTTGGTCTGAGGATGCATTGATGAGGTTGTCGGATCCATTCAAACAAGTGTGATTGTTCATGATCAGATCCGAAAGCTTGGGTTCTGTTATTACAATGTACAGTGGTTGGATGAGCCTTGATTGAAAAGCTTTCATCCCGGCGCCTGCTGTACCAGGCAACATTCGAGTCAGCTGCGTGCTACGTCCGTCGGCAGTCTTCAGTCGCAGTCTGATGTTATCAACAATAATTAGAACTCCGACCGAACTCATTGTAATTATCATCCGGAATTCCCCGAGGCTCATCATGATTTTTAGATCAATTGTACATGGATCGAAGAGCCCCCTTCAATCGTTGCTGCTTCAATACTTCCATTCTGTTCAATTGTTAGGAAACCTGTTCGCCATGTTATTGTCGCAGGCGCGCAGCACGAGCACCTTTTGAGCACAGGTATTTTCACAAGTGCGGAAGCAGGGCGGCGCCACTGTCAGTGCTTAGGCATCCGAGTCTGTCGCACTCAGGAGTCTGACGCACTCACAGCTCGCCAGCTGCTCGAACCTGTGCGCATTCACGTTAATTTTTGTAAGTTTTGTGCTTACTCCTTAGACAAACTCAGCCAAGCTGGTCATCCGCTTACAATTTACTGGTGCTCTCCCTCGTCTGATCAGAGATATTTCGTCAATATAATTTACCAGCTCCCGACTTACAGACTGATTTGTATCATCAGGAGGCGATCTTGACCTTACACATCACTGATCAATTGCGTCACCAATTATCTCATACTTTTTCTATGATGGTCGATTTCAAGACAAACATGTTGAGTCAACATTGGCGACATATGAATGGACAAAACGCTTTCCATGCACTCTGTCATCTGTGCGGACAATCATACACTCCCCCCACACATATACGCCTTTCAGTCGCAGTCTGCATTCCGGCAGCCTACGTTGTGCTATCCGGACGACGAGTCTGTCACCGTCGATCCTACTCTCGCTCGTTTGCAACAAGCTGCCTAAACTGCCTCGTGCTTTCCTTTCTTTGCTCGTTGTACAGATACTACGGACCCACGATATTCTTTCTTGTTGCGAAAACTAAGCAGGGTATAGGCTGGCACATTGAGAACATATTGTACAGGCAATACGAAAGTTATAAATATTACATTATGATACAAACTCATCATGTATCTTAGCACAAGCGCTGCCAATGGTTTGCTATTGCGGTTCGACACCTTATTCCTGCTCAGAGTCACTGGAGTCACTGGAGTCCGTATTCTCCTGTACAAGGAGTCGTCAACAACGAAAATTGGACAGTTCGATATGATACTCACGCTGATGTATATCGGCACTTCTGTGCCATCCTCGCGGAGAGGCGCCCACGGGATGGGAGGGGTGATCCATCTTGTATGCTCCTCGGTAAGCCAACATGTCCATCATAAAAAGCAAAGAGTGCACTCACAGCATTTCACCTGTACGTACTGGGGAGGGCGACGTGCGCCTGTTACGAGGATGCCTGACATGCAACAGTTCATACAAAGGGGTATAACAATGCTCCGTTTTGCATCCGCTGCGTGCTAATCCAGTTTGCGTGTCACTCCACCATCTCATCGGGGCCGTAGCATCAACTGCGCCCACACTAGGCGCGGAACCTAGAAGAGCTATGGAAAAGCTTTCACCGCCTTCCTCTGGATGAGCATACTTGTTTTTCAATAGGATAGCGCACTCACTTGTATCTGAGAGGTGCATATAGAAGGCAGGGCAAGAGAAGGTTTTGGTAACGAGATGCATGGATTGAAGGAGCCGAATATTCGCGAGCTTCCCGATAGCGTCTGAAGTAATGCGTTTCATGCGAGGGTTGCTCATGAGGAAGACAGCGCCAGTGGTGCCTTTCTTGGCTTGCCATGTTCCTTTGATTGCAGCTGTGGCAATCTCAGGGACAGCTCTGGTAGAGCCAATTGGAATGTGATATCAGCAGATGATCGAAAGCTAAGGACTTAACAACTCACGCTTGAGAATCGACCTTCGATTCGATGCGTTTCACGTTTTTAGACCAAGTTGTGAATTCAGACTCCTCTGGACAGTCTTCGGGAAGATGCTCGCCAGATTCAGGGTTGATACCTGCATCGATGAGAAGTTCTTTGAAATGATCTGAGTATATGGAACCTTCGATGTTCAGATTTCCCGTGTCTCTGTCGATCCTTCCGTACGACCCAACCTGCTCGACATCAACATACAACGAAAGGAGATATGAGCCACTGATAACACGCACTGTAATCTCCGAGGGTGGGTCCCAGTTGGGATATTTTCCGGTTCGATCGAATATAAGCTCGATGAACTTGCGTTGCGCGTGCGAATCCGGCTGGGTGTTCCAGGACCACATAATGTGTATGGTGGGTATTGATGGGTAGTAATAGGTATGTCCAGTGAATGTCAAACTCTCGAGACTTATACGGGGAAACTAAGGAGGCAGTGTGGTGCTGTGTTGGTGCTGTGTGACAGGCCGGCGTCAAAACTCGCATCTTACCGCGAGAACCTTCTAAGGTTCTATTATATTAAGCTTGACCAATCCGTATAAGTTTCTTTGTTACAGTACCAGTGCTGAGGGATGACGTGCCTCGGTAGAGTTGAGTCTTTCGAAGGCCATCCTTCATTGACATCCCTGACATCCCAGCAGGGCCAGCACCAGCCTTGCTGTGGGAGCATGCAGCGCCCCAGGCTGCTGCGGTGTAGGGAGAGCACCTGTGCAGGTGATTGGACAGGGTATGCATATTGTACTTGCTATACAGGACTGCGCGTTTAGAAGCCCGAAGTAATCCTCGATCAAATCTCCTGCTTGTTTTATGTAATTGAATGGCGCTGACTCCAATTATAATCGATATCTCTTGATCGTTGTGTCCCGACTTCATCATCACCATCATTTGGCTAACTCGTGGGATCGTCATTATAACATTGAAACACTGTCAGACGAGAGTAGTGTCAGCTCCGCGCACAATACGAATTGATTATACATAATACACGAACATAGGCCAAAGAAGGGTGAGCAAGAGAATATTTACATGGGTATGTGCAACCGACTGTATCAAGATCGTGTCTCTCCGCTCCCTTGGCAGCGCTCTTAAGAGATTGCACACCAGGTGAAGAAAGGAGGCAGCCACGCCCAGGACAAGACCTCTACCGTAATCAAACATTGAACCCACCACAGTTCAGGAGCATAAGATGCGATCAGAAGTGCTAGTATGGAGTGTTCTGTCAGTTACATCTTAGTACAAGGATATAACTGCTCACCTAACATCAAAAACATGATAGAAATGGTGAGGGATATACACGGCCAGCCCACAAATCGAAGTGTACAACATAATCGAAAGCGCGAAGCCGTCAAGACCTGCAATTGTATGAATATCGATGCGCGAAAGGCCAGGTCTGGTACCAACATCTTTAACCCATATTCGATCACAGGCTCCGTATATGTTAAGCACCGCTAAACCACACATCAAACCACCAAGCGCATGTGTGAATGACAAGAAGGCGAAAATATAGGCGCCACGGAATGTGTAAGGAAGAAATGATGTCAAGGGTGGTTGTGTTGAAACAAAGACCGCAGAAGTAGTGAGCATCTGTAGACACAGCATCCGGTTTATTCATATTTTGATTACCGAGAGTATACCAAGCCCGCCTGCAACGTTCATGGCATCAGTACACGGACAATGCCACATTTTTATCACCCACCACTATGTTAGTGTTACACAGTCTATTGATGATCCTCTTCTGTTGTTTCTCCCATTTGTCATCGTCCGTGAAAGACTGCCAGTACTGGTCAACGGAGGGTCTTGCTACCGAGATCAAGCAGAGTGCACGAAATAGCAAGGCCTGTATAGGGAACTTTTGGGGGTTTAGGGCCTTCCACCAGTCTGGTATCGGTGGCCTGCGGCCAAAAAGCTGATCAGTGTACAATCTGAAAGTCGTAGGTGTACTTACTTGTGCGAAAAATCACTTTCGTTCTCCATTTCAATGGATGAGCTAGATATCCGATATGGCTCGCTGTTGGACATATAGGTAGGCAAAGCCATACAGTGCTGATAGCAAGCGAAGCTAGCAGGAAATATGTTGTAACACGCACGAAAATTCTGGGTAGATAAGCTGTACGCATTCGCCAGATGGGGCTTCCGTCTTTACGTTCACGCAATATGCCTTCCCTCCTACTGAATTGAACGCTCCGAGTCGGGGGAGATAAAACGGCATGCGACTGCATTATCCCTTTGAAAACGAGCACTCACTGAGACTAGTTTATATGCGGCGCGTAGACTTGAGATAGTTGTTGACCGCCGGGAGGAAGAAATGAACGTCAGTAAGGGTTCCATGGTCATTCTTGCCGCTCTTCCGGGCAGTAGGGTGGTCGAGAGCGCTGCTTTCTGAAGCACATTCTAGCTCAGAGCAGAAGGCTCGACGGTCACATTGAAGTAAAATTTAAACTGCTTCAGACTGCACGACCTCGAGATATCCTTGGATAACTTGGTTTGAGCCTGGTATTGAGTACTGGCAATGGCACCTTGAGCACTGAAGGAAGTTCAAGGAACGACTGCAATTCGCCTAGTCTGTATCGGAGATTTTGAGAGTTTGCCAGAGGCCGGCAACCGCCGGTTTCAATGTTCGGTTCATTTTCCGCGATGATGGATCACGATAAATAAGCTTTTCAACCAACTTTCCCCGGACATAACATACTCAGGAGGTAGACGTTGAATCTTAGCGATTATCGTTTCACTGCTGAGTGCATGTTAAACAAGCTTGTCGACTCGGGCTCACACAAATCACCTATTTCATCCCAGTTTTTTTATATTCATTGACGTACGTCACGATCCGATGATCACCGTGACCTAACCATTGTACAGCCGCCCTTTGTATTGAATGGCGCACTTAAGCTTAAGGTTCGTAAGTACATGTAATACGTTTCTACGATGGACCCGATACTGCTGCGCAATCCTCCTTACAGGGTGGAGTTGCATTGCAGTCCAGTGGCATCACTGCGATCCACGCCCGACAGTCTCAGAAGCATAGCATAACCTACTGCACATGACGACTGCATCTTCCGCCCCCAATCTCGCCATCTTCCGCAGTTATGCATCCAAACCCAATCCAACAACTATACCACCATCGATCCTACTCTCCCACTCAGGAACAAGTCTGACGGTCTTCGACGCGTTCCCCAAATCCATCTTTCACCTTCTGGTCATTCCCCGAATCAAACCGCCCTTAAGCGCGCGCCATCTCACAGACTTGCGTTCTTTGCTTCAATGCGAGAAAAGCGTTGCAAAGGAGGTGCTTATGAACTTGAGTGAAGAAGCGAATAACGCAAAGAAGATGATCGAGGAAGAGATGATGAAGAAATACCAGTTCAAATGGGAAATTTGGATTGGGTTTCATCCGATCTCGAGCATGGAGTAAGTGTTTGTCTATCCTCTCTTAAAGATGGTTTCGTTGAGTTCATCACATCTTTATGGCATCGTTTCAGACACCTCCATTTGCATGTCCTTTCTGCAGACCTCTTTTCTCCGAAGATGAAGTTGAAGAAGCACTACAATTCGTTTTATCCTAGCCTGGGGTTCTTTTTGCATTTGAAAGATGTTCTTTCGTGGTTCGATGCCGAGCCTTCGTATTATCGACGAGTACGTTGCACTGCAAAGGATCCCTTGTTCCTCACTACTGACAGAGTTTCGGGAATGTTTTGTAGATGATTAAGCTTGATGCAAGCCAGTATCAGCCGCTCTTAAAGGATGGCGACCTCTGTTGCTGGAGGTGCGATCGTGCCTTGGGGAGCATGCCCAAGTTGAAGGCGCACTTACAAGAAGAGTTCGAGAAGCTGACGAAGATTGAGAAAGCGAAGTTGGAGAGGAAAAGGAAACGCGTCGATGTACCCGCCTCATCCGTGCAGCCTGAGGTATCAGTGGCTGATGATGAGCGACCCGAGAAGATCGCCCGTACGGATCCAAGTCCAGATGACGACTCCAGCGATCCAACTGTAGCTGGCGACCTAGTGTCGTAAACAGGTCGTCAGCGCTGCCTTTCCTGTGGTTACATCCTTATGACATTCTCAATTCCATGGTGTATTCGCTGAAGTCAAGTACAGACGGTTGACCAAATATACCATCACAAAATTTGCGTTTGACGCCAAAACTCTTGTGTAATTCAAGTTGATCACATCAGAAGAAGAACCGACCACATGCCAATCTCGGCGAGGGATTGGAACTCAACTCGAATGCTGTATCAAGCCATATCAAGCCAAGGCATCGTAGGTGTAGCTGCCGGTAGACTGGGCACGAATTCAGATGAAGGGAAACCCATGCCAACCTCGAGGCCTGCCTGATACACCGACCAACGAGTACGCGCATCCTCTGCCGAGGTCAGAAACAACGGAAGAAAAATTTTAATTCCAGCGATCATAGAGATCTAGATGGTCAATGACGATCGATCCGCGAAATTCAAATTATATCCTTCTTCCCCAAGTCGCAACATCAACGTTGGGTATGATAATACAGCATCAAGCTAACGACCCCAAAGCAGAGTTGTCTCTCTTACTGAAGAACTTCAGTCCGACATTCTGAGCTTCCTTCCTTGGCAAGATATTCTTCCTTGTACTTTCATACTGTCATTTGATTTTATCATAGAATGGATCCAAATACTGAGCATGCTTCTTCTGGTATTGAGGGGTCGCGGGGTGATAGCGCGAGCCAATTGCGAGGTGCCACTATGACTGCCATCAATTCTACAGATACGTGGTTCGCATCGACTTGGTGAAAGACATGCTCGAAATAATCTTATATTGTGCAAGTAGCCCTTTCCTAAATCGATCCTTAGGTGTGTACAATCAGTGATCAAAAACGAGTCTGATTTCTCAGCAACAGTAGCCAAGTACGACACCATCAAGAATGTCTTTACATCGCACAACGTCAACTAAAGATGCTACTGCAAACAACCTCCAAAAATCTTCCTGGGAAATCTTCATCATACGAGCAGAACCGCCCTTACTCCTATTTTGCGCTCAGTACGTGTTCGGATAAAGTGTTTCATCGCTGACGTACCCGACCCTTTCATCTGCGTCACAATGCCTTCTCATCATTGCAACAGTACTGAGTCTTCGAGACACCATTTACTGTGCAACTTTTGCTCGTCACAACGACCCCCTCTCCGCATGAAACTCCACAGGACTTCCAATTGCATGAGTCAGCAGCACTGGCCTCGGCCAGTACACCAAGAGGACCGATAGCTGTTACTGCCAGGAGAATGATCGCCAAGAAATTCATCTAAACAATGTCATCAGTCACATTGATAAGTCCTAGTGATGTGAGCCTTGCCGTCGAAAGGTGCGAGTTTTTTCAAGACAGGTGAGGGTTTGTTTCGCAAAGTTTGAGTTAATCGCAAGTTCTGTGCTCATACGCTTTATAGCTGCTGCTTGTTAAAATATTAATCCGCAAATTCGAGAACAGCAGTTATGCCTAGGTCTATGCAGACATAATAGATGGAAGGGCGTCCGTCGTTCCATCCAAACCATTCAGTCATCGTAAGAAACATTCATGCGACGGTAGAGGCTAAATCATGAGCCAGGGGACAACAATAAAACGATCGCGCAGGAAACAGTGCAACGTTGCTAACACCATCATATTCAATAAAGCGAAAATGAAATTCCACACTTCTTCGCCTCAAGTGTCGAGGCGAACTAATCAAACTGACAAACCCAAAGCAAGGGGTCGATATCACCTATGCATACTGATCATAAGTTTGCAGGTATGCAAGGCCCTTCGCCAGACGTACTTTTCGTCTTCGGAGATTCATTGCACTATCGAACTTGGTGGCCAATATCTTCTCTGTCCCGAACGCAATTCACACCGAGATAGAAAGTCAATATTTGGCCGGTCTGGGACAACGTCCGTGCCAAAGTGCGGACAAAGTCTGGCTCAAACCCCGTATGCATCATTCCGCCAATGCGCCCGCCGCCATACATCCGAGTCACTTCCCGCTCACCGCTTGTCTTTTGTCCAGATTCGGGGGAAGTCCTTGGCGGTTAGACCTTCTGTGTCCCAGGCTTTCAAAGGCACAGACTGCCCATTTCAGAGATGAGTCCTCCACCGAGATGTTGAATGCGGACTATGAATTTATGTTTCAGGGCTGGCTGGTCGACGTTAACATCGACCGACTGACAAGTACGACACCAAACTGAATAGATATAACTTGGCAATCTGCTGGCATTGCAAATATCGTCTGTCCGAAAGGGATCACTGTGGATAGGCTCTTCTTACATCCTCATGAAAACCCCTTAAAAGCAAAGCGTCTGGAGTCCTACTAGTGTGCATTTCAGAATTATTTGATCCCATATCCCATCCTCACAAAGAACCAATGCGTTTTTCCTTTGTACTCGCCGTCCTTGCTGCTTTGACAGTATCCGTTTCTGCCAGTGATGCCCAGGCCCAGAAATGCCCTGTCTTTTGCAAGAAGTCTTCCCAATGCGTAAACTGTCCTAAGCAAGTCTGTGTGAGTAATTTGCGTCCTGAATTTAACCACATGACTCACCGATGGGGCAGGCCGGCGTATGCTTCTAGTGTGGCAGTTAGTCGTATTTCTGCTTTCACAATGCATGGTTGATGGCACGACGTGAGTTACTAGTAGTCTGTTCAACTGGGTGGGTTGATTGATGTAAAATTACTTCGGAACAGGTTTGTAATACTGCCGCTCGAGCAATGGAGATCTTGGAATAGTGGCGCAAGCTTTGGCACGGTGGATGTATATATCTCATTCGTTTATGCATGTTGGCCATACTGCACTTGTAAAGTCAGATTTTATTGAAAAAATGTTATGTCTGTACTATGGTTTTAAAATTCCCGGTATCCTATTTCAGAGCGTCTACAACTCCTGAGGCATGAGAAACAAAGCTCAAGCTTAAGCTTCAAACATGGTTCGCCCGCTGGTTCAAAAAAGTCTATACTAGAACAATTTAACCTCAATACAATCACCGATGGGCACCTCTTGTACCCCGTGTACGCTAACCATGATCGTGAGGACGTCCGTCTGAAAAGATCTTTCCAACTGCACCAAAACCATCACAATACACGATCGAGCGTGGTCCCCAGTGAAAATCGGACAGTGCGAGAGACGTCCGAAGAGTGCCGCATCGTGCACCACCAACTGAAACCGCCCTCGCACGATCTCGACAAGAAATCCAGACGAACACACAATGGAAAAGGAGTCAATATCGTGCATCGTCGTGCGACTGTCATTTGAGTGGATGATGCAAACTTAATGAAAACTCGCTACTTTTGTTGCCTCTGACTCTCTCTAATTCATACGACTACGAGCAATGGATATTGCGCATATATATGCACTATACACAAAAATACATGAGTTGCATACCACTGACATCAAATAAACTTACATTGGGAATATATTCGAATGTTTCGGGGCCAGGGACATCGAGTAGGCCGCATCGCTGCTGGACCGTACTGGTAGTCATGATGGTAGGAAGGGAACAAGAGATCCGAACATCGTGAAGTTGGGCTTTAGACTTAGAAGCATTCCTTGTACAACACCACCATAGAACTGGATAGCCAGCGTATTCCCCCTATTGCGAACGCCGACTACACCTGCGTCTAGAACTCCCGAGGGATAAAGGACAAGTATGGTTCAAGTTTGATGCCCTATATCAAAATTGTCTCTACACCAGAAGGAATTAGCTTTGATATCATACGGTCGCTGATGGGCACCTCTACCTTCCATACGTAGATGATGACTGAATTGACCCTGCAGTACTTTTGGTGACCCTCAGGCTGCTTGACGGATGTTGTTTCCGTCCCCGAGGCTGCTCGGGCGCATTGAAATAGTCTCTGTTCCCTGCAGCCTGCTTGCGCGCTTCGTCCCTCCCTCGGTGCAAAGCTAGATAACGGCACACGCATCAGTAAAACAGATCGGCACAAGGAACCTACTTTGTTGAGCTTTGCTTGCAAAACGAAGCTAAAATCACAAAGTAGGTTCCTTGAGGTCTTTGAGAGCTCTGTTGTCGTTCTCGAGTCTCTCGGCTTCTAACCTCTGAGCAGTTTTTTGTCTCTCAAACGAATCAGAGAGAGGTCCTTGCTCGGAGATGATCGATGAGAGGTGAAAGAAGGCTTCTACGATAGTGTTTGAGGGGGAGTCGCTAAGAACGCGCCTGTCTTCCGCGTATGTTTGTTTGTTTTATCGAACAGCAATGGGTTGGTCGTATGTGTAGTACTGATGGGATGGCCTCAAGGCCATTCTCGGAGTTGGGAATGTGAAAGACTGCATGTAGACAAAGAAGGATATGACACGGAGAACGAGTGGTAGGAAAGGCGGTGGTGCATGGTGTAGCTCAAGGTAAAGCGTAAGCTGAAAGGACGAGTCGGAGTCTTATGTACTGGGCGTGACAAGATTGTGACACGACTTTGCCGGTGCTTATCGCTGTGGTTGCGTGCTCGATGCTTGAAATGGTAATAAAAATGCGGCGATGATAACGGCGGGTGGTAGGTCCGGAGTTCATTAGGATAGTATCAAGTCAGCTGGAGTACTTGCAACGTGATAGATTGTGGATCTGGCTGAGTATCCTTCACTGTAAGGGGTTGACTGAAGGGAAGGCGAGTCACGGTGAAATTGACGAGACTGTTGACACCTTGGCGGGTTACAACTTACAAGGTGGAGCGAGTGACCTCCAGTGCTTAGCGGGTCGACTGGTTTATGGATTTGGCATTACAATTTTAGTATGCATCTTTGGACAACGAGACAGTGCGATGATTCAATTGGCTCCAAAACGCTTCACGACGCTACAGTACTCCTTCACGCCCTCTTGCGCGTATCATGCCAATTGTTCTATACACTGGCGAAAGCAAGCACATCAGCACTCCGACTCGGAAGGCAACGAGAAGGACACACTCACTCAGGCACTGTGTAGTTGAGTAAATCTCAAGACTTACACGTGAAGTCATCTCCATCCCCAGTCACCTTACAACAATGTGTGCATGAGCATGGCGTAAAGCCTATAATTTTGCCATTAGCTCCACAAAAATATCCGAAATCCCTGCCGCCGTTGTAGCCCTTGAGGCCCGTTGAGCACCCCGACCGACCTGTGGATAACCGTCAGCATGTGGTCTAGGTCTGCACGTAGGCTGCAGAAGTGCTCACTTGGATTGCTACAAGGGAGGTTCTTGGGTGTTACCGTCAGGTCCTCGGATGCGATAGCTTCGCTAGCCATCACTGCGGCAGATACGATCATAGTGGTGAATGAAGCGAATTTCATGGCTGAAACTTGTTGGTGTTGTCTGGTTCTGAAGCTAGTATATTGGCTTTTATACATAAGTAGTATAGGGGGCAGCCAAACAATCTGCACGTACCCTTCATCACTGGATGCTGGGTAACGAAACAGATGCCGGCTCACGTTCCGTGATGTAATTGTTTTGAATGCCTTGGAAGGTATCGAGAGTGCAGGCTCACGTTGCGTGATGTAATTCCTTTGAATGCCTCGGAAGTTGGAAGGCATCGAGAGTGCAGTCACAGATAAATTCTCCCGACCACATTCGCATAATCTTCCAAACCCACTTCGCGAGTCCTCTTGGTACGGCGCAGTAAAACTCCTATGATGATGATCTATTCACCCAGTTTTCATATTTGCGGTGATGTGGTAAACGCACTCACTGACCATGTGCCAATCTAGAAATTCAATAATCAAGTGAATTGTGGGATCTTGGCAAAACGTCACTACGAGGAGTAGGGTATACTCGTGACGAGATCTGATAGGCCTGAGCGGTGCCCAGTGCCCGCATGACCTCGCGCCACATACTAGAGCATAATAGTAGCAAGCGCGGTGGTTTGCGGTGGTATAATGTGGCGGCGAGGTCCCCCCGAGGACGATGAATAGATCTTGTTGTGGAATAAGTACTTGAACAAAACCTCCTCGATGGTTACAATATCATGACTTACGAGTTGTTCCGCTCAATACTGGTGCATTCCTGAGATTTTTAGTGGACTCCAGAGTATGCAGATCATGCGAATATGAACTTCAATAAACCTATCCTGCCGTGGACAGGAGCGGGCTCGTTGTTTGCACCTTCAGGCGTGTCAATGACCCATCGAACAGAAGCGCCACTGTCTGTGAGATCAAGGCAATCTTGGCACAATTTGCTGCATATGAAGGATGGGCGCCGGGCACTCGCGAGTCGTGTTGCAATCCCAGACCCTGAATATGTGTATTACCTGTGGCGTTATAGATGGAGCGCTGTGGCATTGGCACAATACTCTGCGCTTCGCGAGTCGCTCTACACTGAGAGTGACAAGAAGAAGCCTGGGAAAAATAATTATGCCTCCAAGAGCTAGACATTCGAATAATAGTGGTACTCAAAATAAGATCCAAAACTTTTTGGAAACTCGCGTAGAGCACGGCTAAACCCTTCCAACACGGCTAAAGTTTAACAGAACATGCTCGGCACGAGTCGGCACAAAGTCGGACCTTTAAAACAACACTTGTGATTTTTTTCAAAGCGTGAATATACATAGGGGAAAGTGTACTTTAGAGAGAATAGAAAAAGTAACCACAATCTAGTAGCTTCAAAACGAGTAGCAGATCCTCCAACATACTTGTATTTCAAATGGTAGTAGTAATACACTTGTAAAAAAAACTAAGGCCCCGCCCCAATGAAATCAGCCGTAGGTAGGGAGCGCCGGATGGAACAAAATAAGTGCTGAGGGGAAGAGCGGGGGGGAAGGAGAGGATAAGCGTTGGGAGGGATATGTGGGGGGCAGATTTGCGCTGGGCTAGGTATGCGTTTGGGGGGCGGATGTGCGATGGGGCAGATTTGCGCTGGGGGCTGGGGCTGGGTATGGGCTAGGGGGCAGATGTGCGCTGGGGGCAGGTATGCGTTTGGGGGGCGGATGCGCGATGGGGGCTGGGTATGCGTTGAGAGGGCAGATGCGCGATGGGGGCTGGGTATGTGTTGAGAGGGCAGATGTGCGATGGGGGCTGGGTATGTGTTGAGAGGCAGATGCGCGATGGGGGAGGAATATCTGCATGCCTCCGCGGAGACGCAAGACTGAGTGAAGGTAGACTCCTTCTGGATGTTGTAGTCGCTGAGGGGGGAAGATCTGCATGCCTCCACGGAGACGCAAGACTGAGCGAAGGGTAGACTCCTTCTGGATGTTGTAGTCGCTGAGAGTACGGCCATCTTCAAGCTGCTTTCCAGCGAAGGTAAGGCGCTGCTGGTCAGGTGGGATGCGTGTGGGATCTGGATAAGAATAGACAGTGCGAGACGAAACATCGGAACTTTCCGCAACTTTTAAACTCCGCTCAAAACTGCGTCACATATACACGCAGATAGGAGTTTTGATCCCACACGCACCATAGCCCCCCACCATAACTATGCCTCGCCCATCCACTCGTAAAGACCTCCTGAATATTGTCGATCAGGCTGCACTTTCCGTGGCTAGGTTGCAGTATCAGGATATGCTGGACGACTGGTCGGACTTTGAGTCTGATACCGACTCTGACTCGAACTCGCTTTCTACTTCAGGCGATGATCATGACGACTCTTTCAGCCTGTCATTTAGCTCCCCATCCCCTCAATCCCCCCTCTCTCCCATCTCTCCCCTTCCCCTCTCCCCTGGGATGGGGATTGCGGATTCTTCCAGTGACGAATCCGATGACATCGCTGCACCTTACGGCAGGCTCCAGGACACCATCGCTGCTCTTCGTGATGAGGTTAAGAGGGCACGTGTACTCCACAAGCCCAATGAGCCTCCTCCACGAGCATCTCAACTTCACATGCTGGTTCACCACGAGGAACATCGCCCTCACTTGTTTCGGCAGAAACTTCGTGTCAACCCGGAGATCTTCGATGATATCCTCGATCATATCTCTAATCACCCTATCTTCCAGAACCAGTCCAACAATCCTCAGCTCCCCGTCTCCATCCAGCTTGCCATTTTTCTTAATCGTGCAGGCCACTATGGCAATACCATTTCTCTCGAGGATGTCGCTCAATGGGCAGGCGTGAGTGTCGGGTAAGTGGTCAATTGCACTAATCGTGTGATGGTCGCGGTGCTCGATGCCCATGATCAGTTTACCTGCTTCCCAGCAGGTGACTCTGAGGATAGTGACCTGGCTCGCAAATTTGCCGAGTCACGTACTTGTCCAGAGTGGAGAGGTGGTTTTCTAGCCATTGATGGCTCAACCATAGATCTGTTCACGAAACCGGGTTATTATGGTGAGACATTTTATGATAGGAAGTCGAAGTATTCCCTTGGCTGTCAGGTAACATTTTTTTTGTCATCTTCATGTGCAAAAATTAATTTGATTCTAGGCAGTCATCTTACCCCACAACCTCCTGATCGTTGATTATTCTCTCGGTCATCCTGGGAGCGTCCATGACGCATTCGCTTTTCGATCCACTCGCCTCTATAACGAGCACGCTGATCTTCTGCCTGATGGTCATTGGGTTTGGGCGGACAGTGCTTATCCATTGGAACCATGGTGTATTCCCCCTTTCAAGAAGCCTCGCAATGGACGGCTGACGAAGAACCAGAAGACATTCAATTATCACCTCTCTAAGGTATGTTTTTTTTTGGTGGTTTTCAATTGATTTACATTTATTTAGATTTGTGTTCGTGTTGAACACACATTTGCTGTTTTGAAGGGACGGTTCCAGTCTCTTCGAGAGCTACGGTTCAGAATTCAGACCGAGAAAGACCTCGAGTTTGTTGTGCAGTGGATTAAGTGTTGTATCATCCTGCACAACATGATCATCCGCTTCGAAACCGACCATCAAAAACAGGATGGAACATACGAGAGTTCTCTAAAGTGGGCTCGTGTAGAGGGCGAAGATTTCATTCCTCAAGAGTATGAGGCTCCAGATGGTGATGAAGTAGTTGGTGACAGGACATATGATGGCACTCCAGGTCAGGCTACTTGTGCAAGGCTAATGGATGAGCTCTTTGACAGTCCTCAATCTAATGCACAAAGGAGAGCAGGATAAGGATCACATTCACATGTACTACTTGACATGTACTACTACTAAATGTACAACACATATGTACCTATGTAACATCAACTTGAATAAGATACTAGTGTAGGAGAAAAACATACATGCAACAATGAGAACACAAAAACAACAACAAAAGAAACATATGGTAGCAAGAACAAATGAAAAAAACGAGACGAAAAACTCATACACCTCCATCTGACCTGTTGCCCTGTGTCATCTGGTGGAACTTGATCTTGAGGCGGAGGTTTTCAGCCTCCTTATCAAGCACCAGTGAATGAGCTTCGTGCACTCGAATGTCAGTCTCGCGAAGACAGATCTCAGCATTCTGCTTCTCTTGCTCACACTGATGGTTGGCGGTTGCTAACGAGGCCTCATGCTCTCGCACGCTGCGCAGATACTCATACTTCCTCGTGTCGCGATGGTGTTCGGTCTTGGCGTCGAGCTTCGCAAGGAAGCGCTCTTGCTTCTGGTCGTGGCGTGACCTCGCGTCCGAATGCAGGCTCTCGATCTCGTCCTGGACGTGGTCGATCTGTTGAGCGACGTCGGACTTCGCCTTCTTCTTTTTGGAGCCGGCGCTCGTTTGCTGCGACGTTTGCGGGGTGGGGGACATGTTGTAGTCAGATGAGGAGGTGGTGGTGTTGCAAGTCGTGGATGATGGTGTCGACATGCTGCGGGACATGTCGGTCGATGCCTTGCGTCGGCCCCCACAAGAAATCGGCCTCTGCGCCCCAAAGGCTGCCCGACTGTCGTAAAATGACGCCGGGGACTTCGGGGGCATTTCAAACGGGTGGGGGGGGGTGAGGAGGAGGGGACGGGGAAGAAGGCAACTGGCGCTTCTTACCCGCAGCCCGGGAAGGGCTGGTGTGGGTGCCAGCATCAGCGTCCATCATGTTGTTGTCGTCGCCGTCGATGGGGGCGGAAAACGGACCAGCGCTATCATCAGCGCGTCCGAAATCGTCGGTGATGTCGATGTCGTCGGATTTGTCGAGCCCAGGAAGGTGGAACGGCGGGCACGCGTTTTGGGGGGGGTATGGGTTGGGGGACAGATCCACGCTGGGGGCTGGGTATGGGTTGGGGGGCGGATATGCGTTTTGGGGGGGGTATGGGTTGGGTGGCGGATCCGCGCTGGGGGTTGGGTATGGGTTGGGGGGCATATGTGCGCTGGGGGCTGGGGCTGGGTATGGGCTAGGGGGCAGATGTGCACTGGGGGCTGGGGCTGGATATGGGCTGTGGGCTGGGGCTGGGTATGGGCCAGGGGGCAGATGTGCGCTGGGAGCTGGGGCTGGGTATGGGCTGGGGGCTGGGGCTGGGTATGGGCTGGGGCTGGGTATGGGCTGGGGGGCAGATGTGCGTGAATGTGTCTTTGCCGCCATGGCGGGATTGCCGTGCCAGATTGAGTCGAGGTCCTGGTACCATGGAAGGTCCGCACATACGACTTCTATAAAAATAAATCAGCCGTTAACTAAAAAAAAAGGGAAGACGAACTCACGTAGAAGATTTTGGGCAGACGGCCCATCGAGCGGCATGATGCCAGCGCCAGTGGCGGTGAACTTGTTCTTGTGCTTCTTGTACTTATTTCTAAGGCTTGATGTATTTTTTGTTAGTGTATGCGTGAATAAAAATGAGACGAGAAGACTTACCTTATGATGCGATTGGAGACCGAATCACTGAATTTCTTTTGATTGTGGCGGTATGCGGAGCGGTACTTGATGTGATCGGCGAATATGAGGTGGGCGATGGCGCCATATACGTCCCCTTTGTCCCTGTTAGAGGGGGGGTTGTTGACGAGAGCCGATTTCTTCTTCCCCTCGGAATAGAACAGGATCTTGCAGTCAGTGGGATGGGTGGTTAGGTAGTTCACCAGGATGTCAGTAAGGGCATGTTCACTTTGCCACTGGATTGACATCCTGGGTCCAGATGTTTCTGGAGGGAGTCCTTCGGAGGGGGATTCTTGAAGGTCCATCGTCGTTGAGCTCGCTCGAGTAACTCGAGCGTTGCCTCTGAGCCGTGCAGAACAGCGAACACGTTGGCGGGCAGCAGGCATGGATTGAAACTCTGCCGTGCCATGCCGGCCTGACTTTCAATTGTAGTCGTCAAGCCGATACCTTTAGCCGTGTTGGAAGGGTTTAGCCGTGCTCTAGGCGAGTTTCCAACAAGTTTTAAATCTTATTTTGAGTACCACTAATATACTCAATGAAAGCAAAAGGTGGGAAAAATGCAGCGGCAAAACATGTAGTTTGCTGAGATATTTAGCGCGGAGATTGAACGCGATAGGCGCCTGCAGCTTACAAGTCACCAAAGCGCTCTATGTATCAAGTGTCGTAAAAGGTTGGCAAAAGACGAGAAGTGCTGGTGATGTACCGGAGTAATGCATATCGTGGATGGATGCTGGATTCACTGGAAGAGGGATTTGCCACGACGGATCAACCCGAAACCCAACATCGCACGCTCTTGGGCCTGGGCAGGAGGTGTACCCTGTCAGAAGATCGAAAGTATTCAGTCAGTTTACATAACACTACATTCACAATTTCCAATACGAAGTCCCAAAAAAAATACACAGGTGGAGAAATCAAAAGTGGGTGAAGCCCATTGCCAAAACTCCAGATTCACACAAATATACTCGCACAACGGCATCTAGGCTCACTTCAACCCTGGGTGACAAGTCTTTCCATTTCCCTTAGATTTGCAACCTGAAAGTAGCATCGTCAAAGGGCATCATAGCGAAATGAAGGACGAATGTACCTTCCAACCGTGCATAGCGGCCGCTCTCGTATACCCTGACAATGCCTCATGTGGATGATACGGTCTTTAAAAAAGGTCAGAACTTGGATCCTCTATCTAGCAGGCGAGAACACATACTGATCCCAATTATGGGCTAGCTGCGCAGGTTTAGGATCGGTGCTCGAGATGGCAAGCTTGATCTGTAAGAGCACGGATGCGATGCTATGAGGCGTGTCAGATCAGCATGAAAGATATCTTGCGAGATACGAACTTGTAGCTTGGAAGCCATCCTAAAGAACTGCCTCAGTACGTGCTGTCGAGACTCAAGTGAGACTCGCGACTCACCAGCTGATGTTAAAAGATCCATGCAAATAGAACCCCCTGTATAGATACCAGTAAGCCGGTGCAACAATAACACTTCAGTGATACTCACCAGCAGTAACGTGACCACCTCCACCCTAGATCCAACAGTCAGCTACACCAAGAATATGAATCCTTCACCTCGTACCTGCATGAAAGGAAGGAAGCGAGGCATCACGAGTCTAAAGAACGGAGGAGAATGAGGGAACATTGGCGGGAAACATATCTTGAAAACAAGCGAATTGACACCCCTTGTAAAAGACGAATGACCCATCAGCACAGTCCAATACTCAAACAGGCAGCCCAAACTCACTTTGACTTCAAATCCTTCGCAATAGGCAAATCAGGATCAAACAAATGCATCTCCACCACCCACTGGAACAAGTTCTCATTGAACTCTGGAGGCATGTACCATCCCAAAGTAGCAAGTGAGTCCGCGCCCTCCTGTTCTTTCATCATTGCCCTGTACTCTTTTTGTAGCGCCATTGTCGCGCCTGGGGTCGAATCAGCAGGCGGAGGCAACAAGAGGTCGATGTTCTTCTCCACCCAGCTCGCATTGTGTACCCAATCTCGCTTTGGTTTTCCGTTGGCGTGTGGTATGCTGCTCCTCAGCTTCGCTTCCTCTTCATCTGGTGCGTTAAACACAGCGTTGTCGTCCTCATTGAGATCAGGCAGGATGTATGCGTCTTGGCAAAGCCTGAGAAGTTTCTCAAGTTTGTATGAAGGCTGTGGGATCTCGACTTGGGCATTCGAGAGTAGTGGACGGCGATGAGGATTGTGTTTGACAAAAGGAACGTTCCGGATGTTTGACTTGGTGGGGGTGGCGGCAGTGACGATGATCTGTTCATTAGGATGCAAGCTATTGAACGTGTTGACTAGTAGGTATCGACTACAATCAAGATTGTCAGTCCTTGATGACCAAACTGAAGTATCATTCTTACCACATAATCCATTCTGTTTGCTTTACTACATAAAACAGATTTTGCGAGGTAAATTTTTGCAGGAGATTGATGATCTCAGCGAGAGCTACGCAAGCTGAAGGGACAATCGTGCTATTCTTCCAACACAGTGAGCTGATCGTGGCATAGGAGCCCATCGAAACAACATCGTCCTTGGCGAAGTAGACACCTGAACAAGATAAGATACATTATCATCGATTATGGGATTGTCTACTTGCCATCTCCGTATGAATGGCCATGTGCGATGGTCTCATACCACAGTCCGTGCTGTATGATCTATCAAAACATCTCAGTGGTTTCATTCGGGGGCTCTCGAATAACTTGCCGAATGCCAGTTCTTCAGAGGTGACCCATGGAAAGCCTGTTGCGCTGTAGTAAGAAAACATTGTAACTGACGAAAGTACAAAGACGCATACATAGAGAGTGGGGTACTTCTTCGCATTAGGATCTACACGTGTTTCCTGCTCCAAGGCATGTTTGAACTTTGCTTCTTTATCAGGTGCACCGACCATGAAGCGGAATTGTTGCCACTGAGAGCCTATACCGTCACCAATTAAATGAATAAACGAAAACGAGCTAATAGCACATACCTATATTCTGTACTTGATCTTCCTCTTCAGTTAACTCTTGCAGGTGCGTTGTGCAAGAGGCAACACACCTAAATGAGATGGATTGAATAAACTGCATCAGTGACTCAAAAGCATTCAATTGACCAACACAAGATAGACCACGCAGCGGGCAAGATCGAGGGGTCCATGTCTTTCAACTTCGGCTTGTTAGTCCCTGTTCTCAAGGTGTTTCTTCATGTCCTGAATCTGTGATGACTTGAGCATTAACGTCGGCAATGAAAAGATGTATTCGAACTGAAGGCAGTGTGTCGATGAGTTTCATGATTGTAATGTGCATGTCGCTAACAGTCAAGGTATCGAAGTCACACGTGGGGGTTCTATTTTCGGGGTCGGGAACTTTCAATAATAAGCCACGCGGAAGGGGCTCGTCAAGAACTTGTTCTACAGCAGCAACATAAGTGAGGGAAACCAGGAGATCTACCATCTCAGTCTTCTTGCAGATGTCATACTCAATGAGTTAATAAGTAATTGCCGATGATATTTCGGGTGCAAAGTTACTGACCTCTTGAGAGGGACCAAAGTTGAGGCTGTAATATTGGTATGCACATAAACCAGAATTGCAAACATAGGGTTTTAGCGCCTTGAAGTCAGAATTAAGTTTTTTGTGACAGACGATGCAATAACGATTGCAGAGCTGTTGATAATAGATCAGTGCAAGTCGCAATGTCCATCTCAATAGCACTGACTGTGAATCGACGTAGAAGGTACGCAAACGCAGTCTCGAGCAAGTTGATGTGATCATCTTGTTTGTACAAGGGATCATGAGGCAAGTAGCGAGAGCCAGAGAGGTGTTTCTCCTCCTCGTCAGCTTGATGAAGTTCCTAGAAATCACAAATGTGAATATGACAGTTACTTGTGTTGATATAAACACGCACCTCCTGCATCTCCTTGACGAGAATCACAGGCGATTTCTGAAGTTCCTGCGATCTCCAGTGGAGTTCTTCTGCTGAGGCCCATCCAAGTTTGAACTGTCGTCGAAGTCGGAGCAGTTGAAGGAAGTGCTTGTCAAGTAATGATTCAAGCGAGCTGCTCAAGCTAAACTTGTCAAAGGCGCCGTCATCCTGTTCCGGCCCGGTTTCGGAATCCTTGTCAACGTCGATATATTCTTTGACCATTCCATCTTCGACACCATTATGCTGGTCGGACTGGAGGCCGTATTGGCGGAGTGAAGTGATGACATGTTCCTTTGACGGTTTGTACTGTCGTGAAAGGCCGACATAGAACTTCAAAGAGGTGCAAGAATTGACTGCAGCAGGGGAGAGTGTCCCATCACTCTGAACAGGTGGATAGACACCCCAAAATCCAGAAATAACCAGCACGAGATGCTGGCGAGGAAGTAGGAATTGTTTATCCCAAGACATTAGGACGTGAGCGGGAATTTTGTCAGTTAATTACACCACAGGAACAGAGACTGTCAAGAAGAACTCGCTGCTACCACTCCAAATAGCTCCTGGTGTGTAACCGGCTGCATGAGCGCCTTCAAAGTCCCTGCAATGATGTAAGTGAAATAGTTATCTGCGTAAATATCGGCACACCTGCGCAAGACTGAGCGAGAGATCTCTGGTCTGGTGAATGCACTCATGTCCTCATCTATTGATATATCATAATCATAATCGTGGTCATCTTCGCCGTCATCGTCACCAGATATACTGATCAAGAAATGCTTCGCCACTTTGTGTATCGTACTGGGACTGTCGTCAAGTACCCTGTCACAAATCTCCTTCACCTGCTCCCCATAACTGCCAGGTTCTGGGGAATGGCAGAAGAACAAGTGAGTGTTGGGGTACTCTGAAGTGTCTATAGGGATGATGATCGGTATTGATAACACTTCCCTTCTTGATGATGACTGACCGGAACATAAGAGATGCATCACTATCCTTGCCTGATCTCTAGATTCTATCAGGTCGAACTCTACTGAGCCGTCATCATCTCCTGATCTGAAACCTAAGAATACCACTGTTAGTGATGTTGGTGATCGGAAACGATAAGTCTAACTTACTTTGTGCAGACCATGTTCCCCTATTAAGGTCAGATGGACAGGTTGTGTGCAGCTTGTGAAGATCAGCACTGAATCTCTTACGGCCTTTCAAAGGCTTTGCTGTCAGTACCATGGGAGGAGATGATGAAAATGCCAAAGGAGTCAAATGAATCGCTTCCGAGGAAGTCAATGGTAGCTGTGCAGCCTCCGCCACCGGTACCGGCGATATAGGGGTCTGTGCGTCAGCCAGCTTCGACAACTCGTAAGTATCATCATCCGCCATAGCAACTTGTTCACCATGGACATCTTCACCGTGTCGCACAATGATGCGCTTGTGAGGCCTCTTCCTGGAGTCTTGACTTGAGCATGGTTCGAATTTATGTTTCTTGTGTGTATTCCGTGTAACGGGCATGGTACTCAGTGACTTGAATTTGCTTGGAGCTGGGCTCTGGGAGCAAGACTCAGACTGATTTATGGTGTGTGCACGATGCAGGAATCGTTGGGTTATAAAGGTCGAGACGCCGTGTGGCTCATGGCCTCGCTGAGACTTTCGCAACATTATGGAATTGAAGACTTGCCATTTACAGCATCCGTCCACAAGCGCCCAAACGTTTGAACCAAACACGTCTCCCTTCCCTCTCGTAACAAATTCAATCGAGTAGGGATTTGAACTTCAGTGGCTCAGAGCCATGTCTGAGCGCTCAGTGCATCAGGAAAACCACCGGTCCCTTTTTCCCGCTTATGTTACTTTTAATTAATAAATCCAACTGAAAACACTGCTTTTCCCACTTAATTGACTTTTGCAAAAGCGCATTAAGACACACTTAAGCTCACAAGTCAGACCACCAAAAAAAGCGAGAAAAGTTGTATTAAACCAATAAGTAATAAAAGGTAGTAGTACTCTAGTAGTACTAAGTCACCTGTGCTCCTTGCCGTTAATCCGAGTCGCGGTTTGAACATCAGCCATTGCATGTCGATGTTTCCATGGAAGAGGTAGGTCCATCAAGGCCAGCACTAAAAGCACTGACCTCACCTTGAACGATGTGTTCAACCGATTCCTTTTCGCAAGTAGACCCAGGATGCACCTTCTCCTGCGTGACCAGCTCTGGGACCTTGGCGCGGATAGCTTCCAGGTAACACACACTCTTGACAACCCTCCCAGGAATGACAGCCTCAGCCACCACACCCTTCCCACGTCCCTCAATCCAGTTGATGGCAGCAGGCTTCTTGTCCGTGCAGTAGTTCCCTGATAGCGCAAGCGTGATCATCTCTGGGTAATGCTTCTGAATAACCTCAAGCACCTTTTCCGTGCCCTTGTAAATCATGTTCATACCCATGGCATCACCAGTGCGTGTCGCGAACTGAACGAAGAGGGTATGACCAGCCATGGCAGTCTTGAGGTGTTGAAGCTTGGCGAAACGTGATGTTGAATCAAATGCCTCGCGGATGATCTCAAAGCCTTCTTCCGAGTCGATCCATAGCTTAGCTTCTGCAGCCATGACGATGGAAGGGAAGTCGATGGCAGGCCTACGCGTCATGGCGTCGTTGGTGAGGACAGTTGATACAGTGGATCAAAAAGTGAAGTGTCAAGAACGCATAGTGGTCGGGCAGGAACTCGTCGCATGCGGTGTTGTTGTTGACACATCTGCTTGAGGCGAATGTGACACGTCCGTCACACATGTGATGTGTTGACGTGTCTGGTTAAATTTTACCTTAGAAAATTACAAGCAGACCAAGCAGGCTGCTCAGGTCCTCCACCATGGTGTTGTTCGTTTGGCTGTGACTTTGTTCCTTCAATTATCGGTATCATTGTCTAGTACTGTGCATGAGTGGACTTTCCTGACGATTTCAATATTGACTTGTATTGACAGGGCGGGCATCAAGAAGATGCAGAAGAATTCCTAGGATTCTACCTCAACACGCTCGAAGAAGAGCTTCTAACGCTCTCCTCATCTCTCACCAACCCCAACCAGGCTCCAACTCAGCAGAACAACAACGCCCCAGCAAACAACGTGCAAGAAGAGGGCTGGCTCGAGGTGGGCAAGCGTAACCGCACTGTCCTGTGCAAGTCACCTCCGTAACACGCCCAGGGGCAACCCTCGACGCAACCCAACAAGTCCACATCGACTCCCTCCCTCCGATCCTCATCCTCGCGCTCGTGCTGCTGCCGACGGCAACCATGTACCGTCACATGGACACTTTGCATTGGGTAAGCATTTCTGATGCTTACAGCGAGTGACATGCAGGACTAACTTTGTTCATTTGTAGAATGAATACATCCAATGAGCCGTCTTCCTCGCCCCTTCAACCTATATTGTCTCCTCCTCACACATCACAGGTTCCTCAGCCCACACATGATCTACACCTCTGGCGTCATATTAGATGCCACTAACAAAGACACCTCCCTCGAGAACTCCAAGGTAACAAACTCCATCCCGTTTGCTCAAAATCTCGCTGACATCTAGCGCTGCTGCAGGATACAAGTCGTTACTATACCATCGCTGCTACCCTAGTACAGTAGATTTCCATCATCATCATCCGCCCCGCCGTTTTCTGCCCACATACCTACCCTTTCCCCCCTAGTATGTTTGGCTAGCCCCTGACTTTTTATTTCCAGGAGTCTCCTTAATTTATGCTTATTTTACTTTCTTGTATGCTGGGGCCCTTTTCAATGACATGCTTGTGCTGCTTTTTCTGCTTTCTTAAGTGAAATAAGTGTGAAAAAAGCGAAAATTCAGAGATGGAGTGGGCTTAATTAAGTGACTCGCACTTTTTCACTCAAATGACTTAATTGTCCTTTTCATGTAATTAAGTGACCGGTTGTTTTCCTGATGTGCTGGTGGAAAGGGTTTGTGTCATAGTTTTGTAATGCAGTTGAGTCCTTCAAGCTAACATGTCGTAGAACGAAGCAGAATAAACATCAATGATCAACTCCAGATCATCATCTCATTATACTTCAGTCACATCATGTTCCTCAATTCTATAGGCTTTAGAACGATCTGCACATATTTATCAAGGAAGGTGCTTGAGTCTTCACAAAAGCAGAAACCCTGCTCTATCTTTCTCAGCATTCCAAAACCCAAAGTTCAACGCGCCGTGGGTGAGGAAATAGGGATGCGAACTTCAGGGAGTCACAAGAATATCTACCTCGAGAGGCGAGCTTAGTAGATTCGTCCCTTAGGGGATGCTACTGAGGCAATCTCTCTAAATGATGAGAGGGATCAAGAAAAGGCTCGAGTTGGAAGAATGCGAAGGCGTGCGGAAACGCGCGGGGCTGATGCGACGAATGCGCGGGACACACGAGTCGTGCGGAAGAGTCGGAATGCACGCAGTATGCGCGGAGTAGAGGAACGGCGACGGAAGATAATAGGCAGACCCCTTGACTTATAAGGCGAGTCTTCACAAGAGTAAGGAGATGATAGACAAATGCAGTGATGTTATTAGCGCTATATGCACAACTAAGCAGAAAACAGATAGTGAGTCCAAGTAAGGGAAAAGTAAGTAAGTCCGAAAATCCTCCAAGCCTTCTAGATATGTAGGTCGCTACGCGCGCTCTCAGGGTAATAAAATGTAAGGGAAGCGGATAGGCTGTGCGGAAGCGTATAGGGAGCGGATGTGTATGTAACAGTATGTAACAAGACCCTGGATGTGGTCAGAGACAGAGATGACAGTGAGAGTACGCACCAATGGTACCGGACAGACAGGACAGGACATGGGAGGGTATTCCGATCAATGCGCCGGATCGCGGAAGGGTGCGGAATGTTGCTGATGTGTCGCGTGCTCTGCGGAGGAGCGCGGAAGGTCGCGCATGTCGCACGTGGCTCTATAGGACTGGTAATACATGGGGATAGGGATGAGGTCGACGTACAAATGTGGGGATATGAGCCCTGTAGAGATATAACTCTCTACAGCGCATCATGGAGCTTCGATGTCTAAGCCAGAATGGAGTCGGAGGATGCCTGTGATCTGTGTGGGTCGGTTCTGTTGTGAGTTCCTATACGAGTTTGAGGCGCAAGGATGTAAATATCAATATCAAGCACAACACACTGGGTCTCCAGCCTTCCCTCCGATTTTGACACGCAAAGTGTAGGAATTGTAACTTGTTGAACCTCCCCAAGGTTACTGTTTGTGATAGAGGAGCTACTTTTCTGATCAGATCTCTTTGAGGCGACATAGGCGGATGTAACTTAAGTTAGCAATAACATTGTGACGAAGCTGACAAATATCGATGATGCAATCAGATTTACAGCAGATAGGCGCTTATGACAGCGGAGGAGCGCATATACCCTTGACTTGTGATTATTGTTTCTTTTACATATGATTTATCTATCACGGGCTAAGTACTAGATACCTACTTAAGTAGTATACCCACTGTACTGAAGCACTAGTTCTTTTCCAATCAACCCAGACTTTTACCTGGCTATTGCGTTGTGGGAATACTCTTCTTACCTTGTGCCAATTACTCAAGCATTACCCTTCGAGCAAGCGTCACATATTTTTTAGCCTTCAATCAAGTCTATTTTACTAGCTTATCTCTATTAAACTTTCTACTCGACATCACTTCGACGACGGGTCCGGCCCACCACGTTCATCGATCAGTGAAAATGTCAACTACTACCCGAACCCGTTACAACCTTCATTCCGCCCGACAAAGGGCTAATTCAGACGCGTCCCCAGTAAAAAACACTGAGGTACGCCCCGGGGCGACTTTGATAAATTTGTTGCTAAATTGTTAGACAGCGCGAGGCGACTGACAAATGGGACCAACGTCGATGAGACGAAGTCCCTTGTCAAACAGTCACCACCAATCCCTATTGAGGCGCCCAGTGAGGCACTCAGTGATGATACCACCATTCCTGAATCCACACGCCTATACAGCGATGTGGTCAGAACAAGAAGCCCCTCGCCAGATCTTCGGACTGGCAGGGAGATAGAACTATCAGCAGTTAGCGCTGTAGATACCCCTGAGAATTCTAGTGTACAGTTACCTTTTGAGAAATCAATCGCCATCTATGAAACAGCGAGTGAGCAAGAGGAGTCCACTAGTGAGTCCGGTGAGGAAAACAACCCGCTGTTACGATAACATGCCTCGGACCGGACCCCCCTATCTTTTTCCCTATCTTGTACTGCCTTATGACGATTCTATCATCTTCTTGTACAGCATCCTTGATCGCCGTCTTATCTTGTATCTCTTATCTTGTACCCTGTACCCTTACCATTGCCTCGGTAGTCTTGCCCTGAAGTAACCTTTACCTATAAGTAGTCGATCATCTTGTCCTGTATTCTCTAACTTGAATCTACTCAGTATTCTGATAGACCTTCCTTGAGCAAGATCACTCTCATATACAATTTCACTTAAGACTCTTCGTCTTAGTGTCTATACTCGATCGATACCATTAGTCTTGTCTTCTCTTACTGACTCTTGTCACCAAGTCTTGACTCCAACAATAACGATAAATGAACCTCTGCATTATCTTCATCTCATCTGAGACTTAGTACAGAGCTCTTACCTGAGTCTACGCTTTCAGCGTAAAACCCGCCTTGGATAACAGTCGCGAATAAAAGAAATCGCGACCCACGAAAGCGCACTAAGGAACAGGCCATGAGACCCAAGGCGTTGACCAGTGAACAAAGGAAAACGGTCGGGAGAGCAGAAGAGCGACTCACCGAAGCGGATCAAGACCAACTGGCTCGACGAGATGATTCTATCCGTCATAGGCATGTCACGAGGGTGACATGGGATAATGAATCCCAGGTGGAGGGACCATCGAAAGGGAAAGGTCCAGACCCCCGGAATTGGGGAGGGTTAGACCTTGATGGTACAGAATATGAGCTAGAGGCTCAGAGGGCAGCGTTAGCTTCGTATAAAGCAATGAAGTCGGCAGGAGGGGACTTACCCAATGTTTATGAGGGAGTATCCTCCAGACCAGAGTTGTCTCGACTTAACGAAGGGGGCAACGAGCCAAGCGACCTTCAACGAATGGTCGAAGCGGCAGTACGAGCTGCCGAAGACTGTCTGAGGAAGGAGTATGAGATAAAACTCAAAGCGGTTAGTAGAAACAAGAGTTTTAAACCCCAGAAGGGGGTTGAACATACCGAACCTGTCGAGGGAAGAGGGGCTGATCCTGTGCGCAGAATGATCAATAGGGTAGTGCAACCCTCGAAAGAACCCAGGGTAAGGAACCGCACCCCTCAAACGATGGAGCCAGTGCACCAGGTGGCACCTGAGTCTTACATTGGGAAGGCGCTGGGAAGGATCGATCTTGACGATCCAGATGACTCGTCGTCGTCATCCTCATCATCATCGAGTGAGTCAGAATCGTCGGAGAGTACGAGCTCCTCGAGTGAAGATGACCGTCCACCCAGGAAGAGAAAGACTTCTAAGAAACGAAGTAAGTCCAAGAAATCAAAAAGGACTAAGACTACCTTGAAACCCATCCCACCCACTGTGTATGATGGAACAATAGATTCCCGTGCTTACCATAGGTTCATTACAGAGGGCACCGTGTATGTGGAGGACGGCAAGGTGAAATCTGAAAAGAAGGTGTTCGTGCTCGCGCACTTCCTAAAGGGAAAAGCGCATGAGTTTTACATTAGAGAGGTATCGGGAGACCCTTACCAATGGCGCCTGAGGGGGTTCTTTACAGAACTCTTCAACTACTGCTTCCTGATTAACTTTCGGATGAAGCAGCGAGAGAAGTTGAAACACTGTTTTCAAAACGATAAGTCAGTAAGAGACTAAGTGTATGAACTAAACGAACTATGGAATATGATAGGAGATGTTGAGGAGCGTGATCGGGTCAGTCGACTATGGACAGGGTTAAAGCCCGAAATCCAGAGGGAACTCTGGAAGACAGAATTGAACCCAGAGGTATCAACGTTCAAGTCAGTACAAGCGACAGCAGAGATTATAGAGATTGCTCACTCTGTACCAGCTGGATGTGACCAAGTGCCCTCGCGAAAGGAGAAGGAACGACCATCGGCTATACATAGCTCGGCAGTGGTACATATGAAGGGGGTAGGATCACGTCTCGACAGAACACAAAGGACAAAAGGAGGGTACCCACCTAGGAAACCAGGTGGAGGAAGTCCCCCACAGTTCCAGAACCGCCCTAAGGGATGGGAGCGTCCTAAGGAGGGAAAACAAACCACACCCCTATCCACTGAGGAGAAAATGAGATTTAGTGCTGAGGGCCGGTGCTATAGCTGCAAGGAGACAGGGCATTTATCAAGAAATTGCCCTAAGAGAACAATATTTAAAGTGGACTCACCATCTATCAACAAGCCGCCTGGTGTCCCCAGTTTTGGAGTTCATATTGAACCCGGGGATACAGAACGGCTACGGGCCCTCGTGGATTCTTCGCCCACTCAGGACGAGTTGTATCTAGGATCAGTAAACCTATACCTTGAGGAGGAAGAACAACGCGACTCACCTAAGTCCAGTGGGACTTACCGTCCAGGAGGAATCAGAGATCCTACTGCCAGACGCGCCATGGATTTGCTGCAAGGAATTAAGTACCCTGGGGATGAAATAGGAGACCCTACTCAACAATGGGATGACCCAGATAGGTTCCACGTCTATAGAGAATCAGACGAGATATATAATATAGTGGATCACTTACACAAGGACCGTGGAATACACCTTGCAGTCCCTAGGGAAAAACTGGAGAATCCACACTTTAAAGTAGATAGCGCGTACTGGATACACCTTGGGTTAGCATGTGGGCACCCAAAAGTGTGGCTACGACAGACTGACCGAGAACGGACTAACTATCGAGAGGCAATGGGAGACCCCGTGTCAGAAAGGATCGTTTGGTGGCTGAACACCTACTGCCCCAAGGTTAAGGGCGGAAGATCTGCGCGGACAAGGAGGCGATTCTGCTGTCAGAGGACACCTGACAGTAGCTACCAGGTGGTAGACGATGCACTTGCCTTCCAAGCAATATTACCCCGGGGTGTTGTGTGTCAGTGGGAGTGGGATCCAGCTCGCTGGTACATCCGTCACCTGCGAAAGACCACTATAATGGTCAATAACGACCTATTAGAGGCAAAGGGATGGATGTATGCTGGACTCACTGAGCTGTTTGAACCAACCACACCCGACCAGCAGACACTCACCAAGGTTCTTGGCGAATGGCTGGACTTCGGGGAGTTGGTAAAGGTGTACGAGGACAGAAACCCCAGGTTACCTAGTCAACACCTGGTTAGTGTAAACGGCATCCAAGTGACCAAGGGGACATACCCGGCACTACAGCGCAATTCGTCAACAACACGTGACTTTGCAAGGGCAATACCCAAAGCCATAGTAGTCGTCGTGCACGTCAATGGGCGACCTGTGCGGGCGTTAATTGATACAGGATCACTGGCAGACTTTATGTCATTAACAACAGCAGAACAAGTTCACGCGAAACTTACAGTACTGGAGAAGCCCCTAACTATTCAGTTGGCGGTCCAAGGTTCAAGGTCGAAGGTGAATTACGGGAAGAGTGTCCGTTTTCAGTACCAAGGGACAGACTACCCTCGGTACTTTGATGTAATTAACCTACAAAATTATGACTTAATATTGGGCACGCCGTTCTTGTACCAGCACAGTGTAACAATAGGATTTAATGCACCTCGTGTGATTCTGGAGAGCATACGACCCCAGCCGTTAAAAGGAGAGGGGGTGACCACGCTGGAATCGCGTGCCGCAGAGGTATACAATGAAAGGGTGGATAAGGCGCGTGAACATCTGAAAGTGTTAGCAAAACCATTGTGCGCCAAAGCGTCAGAGACAGGCTTACCGCCGTTAAGGGTTATAAACCACACAGTACCCCTAATAGACGAGGGGAAAATCTACCCATGGTGTCCTTCTCGATGCCCGGAACCGATGTGCCCACAATGGGCTGAGAAACGGCGGTCGTACCTAGCGCCGGGGCGATGGGAGATGACTAGTGCGGGGAATACAGTCCCGATGCTATTTATTCACAAACCTGGGACGGATCGACTCAGAACAGTTATTGACTTGAGGGAGCGCAACAAAAACACAAAGAAACTTACCTCCCCCCTCCCTGATATGGAGGGCATATTAAGGCGGGTAGCGAGAAAGCCGCACAGATCCCTAATGGATGGTCAGGACGCATACGAGCAAATAAGAGTGGTGCCGGAGCACGTACCTCGTACAGCAATGACCACCCCAGACGGTAACATGGTGAGCCATGTGCTACAGCAGGGGGACTGCAACGCCCCTGCGACCTACCAAGCCTTGATGAACTATATATTCGGGGAATATATAGGCGTGTTCCTAGATGTATACCTAGATGACATTATCATTTATTCTGACACATTGGATGACCACGTTAAGCACGTACACACCGTAATACGAATACTCGAGCGAGAACAATTCTACTTGAGTGAGAAAAAGTTGAAGTTTCTCTGCAGCGAAATGAAAATCCTGGGGCACATTGTGAATGACGATGGAATTAGTATGGACCCAGATAAAGTTGACAAGGTACTTAACTGGAAGGTACCCACCAATCGCGACTTGTGCCGCGACTTCATAGGGGCCATAGGATACCTGGCAGACGACATCTTCATGGTGCGCGTGCCGTTGGGGGTATTGTCCGCAGTATGCGGGGATACGGTACCGTTTAGGTGGGGAGACACTGAACAACGTGCATTTGATCAGGTGAAACAGCATGTGGAGGCATGTGCGACTCACCACAGAGTACCACTTGAATACGGGGAAGGCAAGCCCACCATCTGGATGATGATGGATGCCTGCCCCACTGGTGTTGGAGGGGTTGTAGCCCAGGGTACGGACTGGAAGAAGGCGCGCGTAGCGGCCTTCTACTCTGTGAAGATGAATCCCGCCCAGTGCAACTACCCTGTTCATGAACAGGAGTTGTTGGCTGGGGTGGAGACAATGTTGCGTCATCAGGACATCTTGTAGGGCACACCTTTCATGTGGCTAACAGACCACAAAAGTCTTATACACCTGTTGAACCAAAAAGGGGTGTCAGGACGGCAGGCCCGGTGGTTAGAGAAGACAGGGGAGTTTGACTTTACCGTCCAGTATGTAGAGGGCGAGCTCAATGTGCTGCCAGATGCGCTGTCGCACATATATAACTTTGATTCTCCTGGAACAGTTAGGGCGGGAAGTGAGTATGTCACCCATGACGAGGACATACCTCCACCGGAGATGGATGGCTTGGTCACCATGCCTGTATTGGTTGGCGAGGAAGCCAACGCGGTGACACCACGGAGAAGTGGTAGGGTGGCTGAGCGCATGGCGTGTTTCATTTCAAGGGGAGGTGAGGATGAAGCACTGAAAAATGCGGCGCGTTCCACTTCAATGGCCCGACCAGCAGTTAGGTCTGTGGATACCACCAATAGGGTGGAGCGTTCAACTTCAATGGAAAACTCACCTGTAACAGGTGTTGGACACCCTAAGGGAGTGGCGCGTTCCACTTCAATGGCGCATTTCATTTCAATGGGGCGGTCCTCTGTGGAAGGAGTGGTCAATGACTCTAAACAAGGAGTAATCAATGACCAACCTCAACAAAGGGAGGGGTGCCAGGGTACAAGGACGAGTGTGGCTCCTGCTGAGTCTGGACGACCCGAGACCAGCGCAGAGTTCGCCAGGCGGGTCAGAGACCGATTTGTCCTGCGCGGGCCTCGCCCACTCGAACAAATGGAGGGGAGGGATGATGCCCAGAACATCAAAGCTAAGGATGATGCCCAGGACATCCGGACTAAAGAGAGTGTCAATAAAGAAGACGAATTAGTAGCGCTGCCAGTCACATATCCGCACAAGATAGACTTACTTAACCAGTTGAAGGACCAGTACCAGGAAGACACCATGTTGAGCAAAGTCCTGGGGGCCCCAAAAGACTTTCACAATTTTGAGGTTGCTGAAGGGTTAATCAGGATTAAACTCAAGGACAGAACACCACTGTGCATACCTGATGTAATAGTTGGAGGAAGACACCTGGTTGAGGTAGTGATTGACCAGGCGCACTCCATTTTGGCCCATCTAGGGGCAGACAAGACATTGTCGTACTTGAGGGAGCATGTCTGGTGGAAAAGTATGGTGGCAGATGTAAGAGCCTTTTGCATGTCCTGTAAGACTTGTCAGAAGAGTAAACCATCTAATCAAAGACCATATGGACTGCTACATTCGTTACCAGTCGCTAATAGGCCATGGGAGGCAATCAGTATAGATTTCATAGGGCCGATGCCCCTATCTCGAGACAGAGACGGAGAATATGACTCTATAACAGTAGTTATCGATCTGTTAACATCGATGGTGCATCTCGTACCTAGTCACACTAACTATACCGCCAGAGACGTGGCAGAGTTAGTGTTTGCAGAAATATATAAACTTCATGTTACGCTGAAAGCGTAGACTCAGGTAAGAGCTCTGTACTAAGTCTCGGATGAGACGAAGGTAATGCAGAGGTTCATTTATTGTTATCGTTGGAGTCAAGACTTGGTGACAAGAGTCAGCAAGAGAAGACAAGACTAATGGTATCGATCGAGTATAGACACTAAGACGAAGAGTCTCAAGTGAAATCGTATACAAGAGTGATCTTGCTCAAGGAAGGTCTATCAGAATACTGAGTAGATTCAAGTTAGAGAATACAGGACAAGGTGATCGACTACTTATAGGTAAAGGTTACTTCAGGGCAGGACTACCAAGGCAATGGTAAGGGTACAGGGTACAAGATAAGAGATATGAGATAAGACGGCGATCAATGATGC